ACTACACGACCATGCTGCACCACTAATCGACCATCCCGCACCACTACACGACCATGCTGCACCACTAATCGACCATCTCGCACAACTACTTGACCATGCCGCACCGCTACATGACCATCCCGCACCACTACACGACCATGCTGCAGCACTAAACCACCATGCTGCACCAGTAAACGACCATCCCGCACTACTTCGCGACACATGCCGCACCAATAAACGACCATCCCATACCACTAAACGACCTTCTCGCTGTGTGTTGTATGAGCACACAGTGCGTATTGTGTGTGCATACCCCAAGTATGTATGTAATTCAACGTCTTAACTACAAGTGAGATTAAATATGGCTGCATTTATAAACTTTATTTTTACGAATAATGTGTTTTTTTTTTCAGATAATTTAGGCTTTAATTAGATGGTGGAGTTAAACAGCCTGCTAATATACATTTTTTTTATCTTATATTTAAATAATTAACATAATTAATTTAAATTATAATGAAATTTAACCATGTTTACCATATGTCTAACAAATACTTAGGGGATCAACTGGTTTTTCAATCAATATTCATAGTTTATTGCGAACAATAAACATGAGTGCGGTAAGTTTGTATAATTTTACAATAAACCGTACAAAAATCAATGCCTAACCAAAAATATAGAAACCCTGTCGTAAGGGCGCTTTAATCTTCTTTTAGATTACTTATGCGCAAAGGAATTACTTTTATATTTGACTGCAATATAAGGGTTTTCATATTCCTGGTCAGGACTACTCGACGCGACGACGTGAAACGTAGGACTGGAACGAAAATTTTGTTTATAGTCAAAAATTTGTTTTTTTAATAAGAATAATAATAAAATAAATATGTCCGAAATATTTTCATACAAATGTTTAGAGGATATCCTCTAAATTCAGTAATTGGTAATGCTTTCGTTCCTATTTTTAAGGACTTAACCTAGATTTAATTTACCCTAAAAAATTTAATTGAAATAACTTATGTGTTATTGTATTTTAATGATTATGAAATGTAATATTCTAGTAAAAATGTGCCTTCTTTAAATAGTATTTACGGATATTTTTAAATGCTAATAATTTTTAGGTTTATAAAATGTAATACTAAAATATAAGAAAATGGCCTGAGCCATATAAATTTAATTCCCAACTGAAATAGTAATTAAGCAAAATCTTAGTAATATAGTTTTCAAACATCTAAGGGGCTCAATCGTCAGAGTAAAAGTAAAAATGTACGCGGGAATGATCTAGAGCCGTCAAAACTACCAATATTTGAACATTTCATTTCAACAAAAAATGTTCGGGAACAGTTATGAATGAAGCAATATTATTAAAAATGTTTTAAGGATTGGAATATTTATAGTTATTAATGTTTAAAATCGTAATCAAATTATATTAATGTTGCTTAAATAAAAGATTAACACATTTTTTCAATTGTTTTATTTTCAACTTCAACCTATTTAACATTGCATTTAAAGAATTGAATTCGCTATAACATTTTACATATCGTAAAATAAATATTAGTTAAATAGGTCAAACATAATACTAAATCTTCATAGTCTATTGAAATGAAATTACAATAACAATGCAAACAATTCTCTTCAAAAATTACATATCACACAGAAAAATAAACATAATTTACACTTATGTACATAAAATGTGTCGCTAATTTAATTTACACTCTTAAAAACGTTATAACGTAACGAAGCAACACTACTATATCGACCGCCATTACAAGTCGCCAACGCGTTTCACACGAGTACAGAGCAGTGCAAAGTGCAGTACTGCTATTGCTTGAACACACTGCAACAGTACTGTGGTCAAGCATTAGCAGTGAGTGCACTGACTTAGGTGCTCTGTGAAGGCATCAGAAACAGTAATGTGGTTTAATTATCTTTCTTCATCCTCGTGCTGGTCATGCGGTAGATGATGGAGTCCCTGCCGGGGTCCATGTCCATGATGGCGTACACGATGGCGACCAGAGTGAACGTGAAGATGACGCCGAACCACAGCAGGATGTTGAAGATGGCAGCGTAGTCCGCGGAGTATGCCTACACACATATTGTATTAGCAAATGGGCGGGAAGGGGATTACAATAATAATTATTATTATTTCTAATTATGAAAGGATGGGAAGGATGTGTAGGAAACGAAAGTCTTCGACTCTACACCCTCCCCCTATTTCCTGTAATTTACATTATTCCAATTCAATGGAACTTGAATGCGATGGGTTTTAACATTTTTCCAGTTGTAATTCAACACTAATTCCAATATCTGGACTGAAATAATATAAATTAGGCAAAAAGGTAGGAAACGTTTGCAAGTTTCAAATGGTATATGGCTATTGGCATTAATGATTTCGCTATTTTAGAGAATACTATTGGGACTTATCTGCCTTATACAATATTACAAGTCACATTAAAAACATATTCATGATTTAGCAACCATTTTTAATTGTCAATTAAACTTTTATTTATTAAATTATCAGGTTTTACTTATTTTAAATGAAAAAGTTAAGATAGATTAATTTTAGCCTCTACATATTTCCTAAATGGTTCAATGGATCTTATTGTTTGGCAAAGATGTAGAACATAGTCTGGAAGAAGACATAGTCTATTCATATTTTTTTTTAATACCGTGCGGGCGACTAAAAGGCTATTGCTAAGATATGTAGTTGACATTATCGCTAGAGCAGTATGTAATGAAGTATTAGTGGTGGTGTGGTGGTGTGGTGGTGTGGTGGTGTGGTGGTGTGGTGGTGTTGTGGTGCGGTGGTGTGGTGGTACCGTGGCGCTGGGCGGCGAGGCGGTGGTGGTGGGGGGCGTGGGGGCCTGGCGCGGCAGACGCACGTGGCGCACGGCGCGCCGCGTGTGCGCCACGTCCGTGCACACCACCGACACCAGCACCGCGCCGTCGTACGCCTTCGAGAACGCCTTGCTCAGCTCCATCAGCTCCTCGCCTGGACATACCATTACCATCTCTAATTCTATCAAACAACATATACTACTCTTATTGAACATATAACAGTAGGAAAGAAACTCAACCATTTTTACATTCTTACTTTAATTATTATCGAAATTATTCGAAAAATGGACCTCTAAACAGTTGTGAACATACTCTCTACTTTACTTATAATTATAACTCAATCATCTTCTCATTCTAATTCTGTTTATCATGAAAATTATTAGAAAAACATACAGCTAATTAAAAATTAATATGACACTAAGTTTTCCTGCTTCAGATCAATTTATCTTCAGTCATCTTAGTTGTCGTTTCGTTCTTGATCATGTCACCTTCTTTCACACAATCCATCCATTTATTTCTAGGCTTACCTCTACTGTACCTTCACACTCATAACTAAAGTTCTCCCTGTAAACATTGCTTTTTGGTTTCATTACAACTGGCACTTATTGAGACTTCATCAAATACACTAATATCTTATCACACACAGAAATTTATTCATTCTTAATTTAATGAGTTGAAATGCTTAATAAATCACTAATAATAAGAAAAATGATTATGAATATTATCTATTCTATCTTTTGGAATTGAAGTCAGTCTTTTATGCTTCAGGTCAAAGTTATTACTAGACTTACCTAAAAGTTTCTTTGCCTCCTTAGTCTGCAAGGAGTTGGGACCGTGGAGGTCGGACAAGACGTGCAGTGAACGGAATCTGAAGTTGTAGAAATCAATGATGTTGTCCGGGCTGATTGCACCTGCATTGATCTGTCAAAAATATAATTCCCATTAAACATACCAAATCACTGACAATATTAATTGACAAGGTTTTAGCAATAGGGATAATATTAAACAATCACAGTCTAGATCAGTGATTCTCAACCTTTTTTAGTTGTGGCACATATTTAATGATTTCAACTTTTGGCAGCACACAAAGAAAAAGATAAAAATGACTTACTACAACACACTGTATAAATAGTTTATGACAAAAATATGCAAAATTTGGCGGCACACTTTTGAAATTTGGCACACAAAAAAGTGCCGAGGCACAGTGGTTGCGAATCACTGGTAGATATACATTACAATTGTTTGACCTAATTTTATAAACGTAAGTTGTGACTTACACAAACAAAATATAACTTAGTTGATTTGATAGCTTGTTAATGCACTTTTGATTTTTTTTATTTTATTGCATTAAATAAGAAAACTACTAGATAGTTGGTTGAAATACCAAATAACAAGCACCATCTGTCAAAAACAGTTCAACATCCAGGAGCAGAGTTATAAAGTAACAGGAATACAAAAGAAATATGTACAGATGAATTGAGAAATGCTCAAGGTGATTGTGACAAAACTTGCCTTGCTAATGAAAAGTTTCAAAGCCTCCAATTCAGCCAAAAATTGATAATCTTCTTCAACACTGATTTTTAAATGCTGCAGCGTTTGCTTCGGTACCTTTGGTGGTGCCATATCACCAAACACAGCAGAGAAAGACTGAAACTGAATTAACAATAAAGATATGAAAATTTATAATTTTTTTTATTTCATTGGTGTGATTTTAATCATTTTCTTAACTTATATCTTACCAAATACTGCACATAAGTATTATGACATGTTCAAATTAATTTAATTTGTTTTGATTAAAGTAAGATATATTACCTCTCCGGGGTTGGAAAGCTGGATATTTGTGAGTATGTTTCCACCATTGCTGAAACGCTGCTCAATCCTATGTTTGATGACATTGAATGTGTCCGGTTCATACTCATCCACCACTAGCGGATAGTTTCTTCCTTTAGATTCAACCTTCACAAAAAGTTTAAAAAATTAATAAAAACCACCATCCTGCCTGAGTACACTATCATACAAAGTATAGTGGATCTGAGATGTAATACTTACAATACTGCCAAGGCTAGATACACCTTCAACATAAACCTCGACAATAGCTTCTGGAGTGTTGAAGGGATCGACGATTGATAATCCATTCCATGCAGAGTTCTGTAAAGAAGTATTTATGAATGTCATAATTACTTGTACAATAAATAACTACGTAAGATGTCTATCTAGCAAAATCCAATACACAATTAATAAATGAATCCATATACAAAAACTACGAATACCTGATCAACGGAGAGACCAAAAGAAGCCGAGAATATCTCTTTAAGTAAGCTTTCCTCGACTTCAGAGGTACCCGAGAATTTTAAGGACTCTGGGCTATGGAGCACACTGAACTCTCCAGCGCCATTAGCACCTAGGAAAGTCAAATACGATTAGCGCTTTCAAAAACATTAAATAGGAAATGTAAAGTATATTATACTTACCAAGGATTGATAAAACAAGGGTCAGGCAAAATAGAGCCATTATTACACCCATATTTCTTGAATGCAGACGAATGACTGTCATATGATTAAAGTCTTACCAATAAGAATATTAAAATAACGAATTATATTTTTCATTGGCAACATCGCAAACGTGGAAAGGTATTTTCCGAAAGATCAATAATTTACATGAAAAATAAAGTGTTTGTTTATTAAGATAATAGTTAATTAGTAGTTAAAAGAATATCGTTTATAGCGCTAGTTCGATAATTTAGTAATTCAGTTAATCTCTAAAAAAATATGCAAAAATAACTTTTTTAATCCAAGCGAATCGGGCACTAATCTCTGTAAATGGATAGGTGATTGCTTAGAAATTATGCTTTTGCTTTGTTCTGATTTAAAAGTGCCTGTTGGTCTTTATGACAGCTAATTCTTTTGTTAATTCATTATTAGAACAAATCGTCACCGCCAACCGGTAATCGGCATCGCAAAAATTGTGAAAATTTACTTGTTACAAAAATCACTTCGTGTAGCCTGTCCATTTGTAGAGGTCAGTAAAAGTTAGGTTTTGCCATATATAAAGTAAAACGTTATTAGTTAGCTTTTTCGAGTGATCGATAACGTGATTTTATCAACTTGTTCATCATATCGTACTTTTAACCAAGAATGATCCGAAAACCGACGAATACAATAAAATACCACTAGCGATATCTACGTTAATTCAGGGTAAATTCAACTAGTTAAATTAAAAACGGTCGACTGCTTAAAGTTGTAACTGGTTGTAACCGTTGTTAGTTGTTTCGCTGAATCAACGCTCATCACATCCCTAATCGGAACCGGTCGGAAATCGGTAAGTCAAACGAAGTCTAGAATTTACCGAAACGTGAATTTGTATAATTCAATCAGTTTTTAGTCTTATATTCGTATCATTAATATAAAATAACAACATTAGAACAATCATGACAAACGAAACTGCCTGCCCTCCGCCAGTTTTGTGGGCACAGAACAAAGAAGACGTTTTTCTAACATTTAACGTTGAGGCTAAAGATCCGGACATTAAAATAGAGAAAAGCACGGTTTATTTTAATGGTATTAATGCACGAGACAATAAAACATATGAAGTTACAATACCTTTACACGATGCTGTTGTACCCGAAAACAGTAACTTTGTGAATAAAGGTAGGTGCATAGAAATGGTGCTTCGCAAAGAAAATGTGACTGGTCGTTTTTGGTCCTCACTTACGAGTGATAAGAAAAAACCACATTATTTGAAAATAGATTTTAACAAGTGGTGTGATGAGGATGATGAAGAAGTCGAGGATACGGGAGCTTTAAATGTCAATGAAATGTTGGAGGCTATGGTTGGCGACAGAGGTGCCGGTGATAAGAAACCATCTTTTGATGATTTAGAAAGTGACTCCGATGACGACAATTTGCCGGATCTAGAGTGAAGTTATTTGTAGCGTTTAGTGCCTTAAAATACAGTTCATTGTGTATGTTAAGGTTTACACAGTTTTTAAGTACCTAATTTTCTTCATGTTACCAGGTGTAATAATTGAACAGAACATGTTTTGACTCATTAAACTTTTGGTTTTGTAATAAAAACATACAGATGGACAAATTATGCTTATGATTAGTTTCATTAACTTTTAGTTTCATTTTCTTCATCATTCATCCAAGTTCAAGTCATTTCTTTTTACTTATCTTTTTTTATATAATTGGGGAACTATTTTAATAGTAGATAGATTTATTGTGCTTGTTATGAGCAAAAACTTCCACAAATGTATCAATAAATTTCAAATGTTGCATCATTAAATTTAAAGTAACATGAAATGAAACTTATAATTCTTACATAAAACTATACTGGATTTGTTTTAATTTGCACCCAATCTGCATGAAATAATTGTTGGCCTATCCATAATGTACTCTGACGTTACTTGAGAATAAATGTAAAAATATATTTGTGTTTTAATTTCATCCCTATCTAAGAAAGGTGCTCAGCCATGAGCAGTTACAGCTTTTGGAGATATTCAGATAACTATTGCAGACTGGTATTGAAGGTAAAAACTAGGGAATAAATCTGTAGTGCTAGAATTTATTTGCAGCTATCCCTCTCCCTTAGTAACCACTTAATCACTGAGTGCAACAGTGAGTAAATACAAGTATTAAAGTTTACTCATGAAATGTTATAAATACTATTATTAAGACTACAGGCAAAAGCTTAATTATGGTAATTCTTATTTAGGTTCAGAATATAACAAGTAGTTTTGAAGAAATAACAAAGATAGACTAAGTCTTCAGCTATTGAAAATTTAATGGTTGACACCTTTCTCCTTATCATTTTGACCGACTTCCCAGAACAAAGAGGTACTCAATTTGTCTGTATGGTTTTGTTTTCTTTCTTTGCTCCTGCTATATATAAGGTATGCTTACAAATGTCAATAAAAATCTTTGAATACTAATTAGGGTTGTGGGGATGGGCATTATATGTATGTAAAAAGATCAATTAAGCAAAATTGAATGTACACAACACTAACACTTTATTTGGATTCAGTTACTTTAACAGCTATATTGTATAAATGGAACTGCTGACCATGCCTTTTTAAATTCAATGTAACAGCCATACAGTAAATTAATCTGTTGAGACTTTCACATTTAAGAATATATGAAGCTCCTTGCCCCGGTGAAAATATTGGAGCTCCATAAGTTTGGCAATCGAACATGAAATATGAAGGACCTATTCTTCCAAAAGATAAATTCTTTGTAGGGCTGACCAATACGCCTAGTTTGTTAGTTTCAAAGAAATATTCCAAAGCTTTACTCAAATTAAATCTATCCGGATATGTATTGTAGACGAATCCAAATATGACTTTAGTGAAGGTGACCGAAAAAGAATACGGATATAAGCCATTGAATGTGGTATCCAAGTCTTCGATAGTTATTTCATGATTGACGTTAGTTCCGATTTTTTCGTGCGTTTTAGCGTGATATTTATCGCCACCGGACACGATACCGTCCAGAAGACTGCTAGTCCAAGCGCTGAGGTTGCACACCTCCGTCATGTAGGCGGCCAGACAGCACGTGGCGAGGTACTGCTTGCCGCGGTGCTCTTCGTCGAATCGCGGGTCTAAAGGATGTATGTTGCCCCACAGCGAGTAGAGATCACCGGGAAATTCTATATCCCAGTCCTTCCACATCGACTTCGGTATGCCTCTTTTAACTCCCGCATCGTTCAACGGATTCATCCGTGACCACGGTATCATCTCAATATTTAACCAGTACATTTTCTCGTCGACCAAAGGCCGTGGTTTCCTACGCTTTAAGTATGGCAAATTTGGATTTTGGTCGGGCTTGAAAAGCGGACTGAGACGATAGTTGAGGGCTGAATGTTTGGGTGCTGTTTTTACAGATGTCAATTCGAATGTATAGAATTCTGGTTGTTCTGCTTTCTCCCCGACTGTATTTCGTATCCTCCGTATGACTCCATCTATAGATCGGTACAGCGTCCACGTCGCCACGGAACCTGCAGATTTTACTGGAGCTTTTGGCTGTTTACTTTCAACGATAACTTCCGGCTCTTCATTGGATGGGGCTGGATTGGGATCGAAAAGATGATAGTATCCATCCATACGACACAGAACCATACTGCAACTGGGAAATCTAATTATAACAAAACGAAGACGTCTTAAAACGGCATTCAAATACTGTTCTAAAGTTTTCTCGGTATTATCATTTATCACAAGGATTTTCTTAATGTTGACATCTATTAATTTTCCCTCCAGTATAATGTTTTTGATTACTCTCTTTTCGCAAACATTCAGATTTGTCGCCTTTTCGAATATCTCTAAGCCTTTTTCGATACACGTATCGATCATGATATGATCCCATGTTCTTATTGGATGCATAGCGGCCATTAGCATTGCAATTAGACTCACGAAATGTGAAGCCTTCACTTCAGAACTAGCTGATCTGTCGTTGAGAGAGGTAGTTCCTTCAATTCTGTAAAGGCCTTGAATCTGTTGATAACCAATCACAGTTTCGCTTTTAGGTTCAGAAAAATCGACGGAGGTTTTCTTGTCTTTGTCTTTGCCCTTTGGGTCGACTAACGTTTGTTTCGATTTACTGGAAGTAGGCGCACCAGCTGAATAGTCATAATCCTCCGGTAGCTTCATCCTTGGTTCTTTCAAAAGTTTTCTCACTAAAATTTTGCTCAGGACAAATTGTTGGTCATCGCCGATCCCGTCTTTGTTGTAAAGCATTCTAAAATTATGAAATACTCTATTAGGTTATTCTAAAAAGATAAGTGTTGGCGTCGCTACTTATTGTTATTTATGTTAAAAAGATATATATAATTAATTTCATGAGATGCATAAACAACTCGAATGAGTTACGAGAGTATTGTTCTGTTTATGGAAGGTCCATTATAAGGTGTAGTCTAACCAACGAAAGATTTGATCAAGTGAGGTGTCGCTCGTAGAGTTGGGCTTTGGGTATTAAATAATTATTAACTTATCCTGTTACAAATTCATTTACCTGATAACGAGATCATGCAATGATTTAAACCGCAAGAAGCAAGCATTATTTCCCTTGCCTTTCTCTTCCCTGATGCCTAAGGGACTGCAGGGACCTCCATCGAACAGGTAATACAAACCATTCTTTCTGAAAAATGCTCCACTGTACGAAGTAGTGGTTATCATTCCCCTGTCATGTTTGTTAAAGAACTTTTTACTTATAATATTTTCAAGTTGCCACGACGGGCCTTCTGTCACCACGTCGATATGCGCTTGATACGTCTGCGAAATAACGTATTGATAAAATCATTGTAAAACATATTCACTTACTGATCTTATGGAATAAACGTTACCTGGTGTCCTATTGTGATTTTTGGAATTATATGTACTGGAGCGAGTTGAAATTTTTGCAGTTTATTTTTATACAATTTTTTACCCGAGTCTATAACGAAGTTTACGATTTCAGGCGTCCAAGTGCTGATCATGTATTTATAGGAAGTGACGATGGCCATTATAGCTGCGAAGGGTAAGACGCTGGGAGCGTCCCCGCCCGTTATGGCGGAAGTGCCGCGGATAATCTGAGAGTTATCGGGCAAAGTCTTGAAGTTGCTCGGTTTGTAAAGTTCCTCAGACGGTGTAGATTCGACTAGAAGTTCGTCCAATGGCGGAGACAGTTTCTTGCGGTACTGGCGCAGCTTGGACCGCTGGCGAGCATCTTCTGTCAAAAGAATCTTGCGGTCCACTTTGACCGGCTCAAATGTTTGAACTTCTTCTTCGGCAATCTCCATAGGTGCAAGCTGAAATTTGACAAAATTATATGATTTATACGATTCACAGGGAAACTAATCAAAACTAAAGCTTACAAATACAGAAGTTTGTGAAAAGTGATATAAATTCCGCGCGGAATTAAAAACTAACAAATGCAAGTAGCCTATAAGTCCTTTCAGACTATCTCCTACATCTATGCCAAATTTAACTGAAATCCGTTCAGCCGTTTTGGCTACAAACTCTAACAAACATCCTTCCATCCATCGATCTAAACTTTCGGATTTGTAATATTAGCATAAAGTATGATTATTATGTGAGTATGATAATACGGGAACTTCAGGCTCAGGCTGCGGCGAGGGCGGCGGCGGCGGTAGTGGCGGCGGCAGCTCCTCCGCCTTCCTTCTCGCTTCTTCTTCTTCCGCTTTCTTTCTTTCCCTCTCTTCCTTCTTTCTTTGTATCGCCTCCTCGTCTTCCTCTTCTTCCTCTGCTTCTTCCTATTTAAAAAAAGAATGAGGTTACAAGTAACGCAGTTTAAAAACATTTTAAATATGCAAGAGGAAATTATTACTACAAAAATATATTAATAGATACGAATTACTTATGTCTTTTAAAGAATAGTCATTTTAATTGAAGGTATAATAATTGTAATAATGTATGTACTAAAAACTTTTTACATACCTCTACACCTCCTTCTGGTGGCTAAAAAAATAAAATTTAAACTTAAATCTCATAATGAACAGACGGACAAAAGATAGCATAAGATAAGTTGTATATGTAGTATGGTTTGGTATCGTATATAGGTATCAATTATTAAATGCAAACGCATTACACATTGAGAAGGACTGACGTAAGATAAAATTTAAAACCCAATTACAAAATATCAACACGGCCGAAAGTTATTGGTTAAAAATATTGGTTCCTTATACTAAACTACGATGTATTAGTTAGTATTTCGTTTATAGACAGGTGTATATTTATAATGCAGTTTTCGTCAGTAAACTGCTTTGGCAGTTTGGCAAAATATGTTTTCTAGTAAATTTAAGTTACTTATAAAATAAAATAACAGAAGTTACAGGCAAGGGTGGCGGGGTGGGCGGCGGCGTGGGCTCCGGATCGGGGTCGGGCTCCGGCGGCTCGCGGCTCTTGTCGCGCGGCACCGGCCACGGCGGCACCACCTGCGTCACCGACACCGTCGGCGAGTCCAGGTTCACTAGCACACAACACTCATTTATACAAGAAACCTTAATGCGCGGTGTACACTTGGCATTCATATACTCTATAACTGGACAGTCGATCGTCTTGCGCCAGTGCGTTCATACAATCTATCAATTAATTTAAAAGTGGTAGAGCCCACTTTAACATCTCCGCACGAATAGGCCGGCTCGGCCGGTGTAATACCACGACCACACAGTAGATAGGCTTGCAGTGGGAGCAATTCCGCGTACAGTCAGATTAGTGTGGTGGTGGTGGGTTAATTTTAGTCTCTTTCCCTTTCCACCCTTTTTTTAGAGGAAGGTATGGAGAAGAAAAGTGGATTTGATGACAGAGGAGACGCATAGGAAGATGAAATATTCTATTTATATGTGTTTCCGCTCCTGTCGATTAAGGGTAGGCAACGCATCTGAAATTGTGGATGTCTATATGGGCAGTGGTCGCTTCGCCATTTAAGTGGTTTCAGGTGGTCGTCCGCTCGTTTGCCACCTTATAAGATAAAAAAAATCTACCTATCCATATAATGTACTGGCCGTGGCAACTTGTCCACTGCACTGGCCAAGTGTAAAGGCATTATGTAGGCAAGTAAACGTATACTAGAAGTACTAGAGAACTACGGCGTGCTGAATTCGAAGGCGCAGCGCCAATGTGATGTAATGTAAGACGTTCAAATCAAATTAAACCCCAAATATATTTTAACGACTGTTTCTGTTAACTAAATAAATCATTATAACTTTTAAAGTTTTTACCAATTTTCGGTTGTTCAGGTTCGGGTTCCATGTTCTTGTAACGCAGAGGTATCGGCGGCAGATAGTCATCTTGTATGCTGTCCACTAACGATATAATATCACCCATTTGTTCCTCATCAACACGAGCCTGGAAATATTCATTGAAAGAAACAAGTTTAAGTTAGTATTTGTACCTGCAGGCATAAAAAATCATAACACTCCTGTAAGAAAAACACGTGGATTCATATACCTTTCCTACGTCGTCCACGGGATCCGCAGCAAGAATTTCATGAACGACCTCCTTGCCGTCGCCATGACCTTTACTAGAGACCAAGTACTTTTCCCTTCTCTTAAACTTGCCACCGGGCAACTCCTCGTCACTTAATGTACACACAATTTGTTTCTGTAAAAGTCGCAACATGTGAACAAGTATGATTGGAGAGGTACATTTAGAATTTAGCTATTGAATATGTAACTGGCTACATAGAAAATATCAAAAGTGCTTGTGTACGTTACATTTTTATAATACCTTTGGTTCTCGCTTCTTTAACTTAAGTACTTTAAATGCATGGATATAAAACGGAGTAGTAACGGGTAGATAATCCCAATTTTTAGTCAACACCGCCGCCATTGTTTCCGGGTTCAACAGCATCCAACAACATGCCTTGCCCACAGTATGGGACCGCAAACCATCAGTAGTGCGAGGATAGCAATCGAATAAATAATACATGTCTTTCTGTCTCCACACAGCGAGAGAATAATTGTTGAATTCTAAAATACCGCTGTTGTATTCACGGTTAAAGAATTCTTCTAGACCTGTCTTAATGTTCAAGAAGCAATCTTTAGTCGTAAACAGTTGGCCTTTTACTCTTTCTCTATATATTATTATCTCGCACGCGAACGGACCGAGAGTGATCTCATTGGGAATGTTGTCTATCGTTATATCGATAACTACTTTTGGATGAGCGCATTCAACATATAGTTTGTTGCCTAATCGCAATATCTTATCTAGAGTCTTTGTAAACCATGTGTTCGGTGGAGAAATCTTCGCATAAGTCATCGCCACCACAGCAATTGTTAAAGCCTGACGGAATTTCGTGTCTTCAAAACATCTGTCTCCAAGATGCATGTTAGCATTAACAATTGCGCAATTTTCATTTAAAATTCTGTAACTCATCATTGCTTTTTCCGCTTGAGTCAATTCTTTGTCCGATTCGAAATCTTCGTCGGCGTTTTCGTCCATCATTTTTAAAACTTTAACAGGAGCTAAAACAAACTTCTGATCTTCAACTACACTTCGAGCTAAGACAACTTGAGCGACGGAAACTACATCTTTGACGTTTATTAGAGCTGAAGCGCCGTTTGTAAAGTTTGAATACGCGCGAGAGTCTCTGCCGGCGGGGTCAAAAATATAGAAACATATTTTGTCCTTCCAGATCACAACCTTTAAGACACTGAAAAAAAGTTAATTGGAATTATATATCTCAACACATTCTATAAGAGAAAGCTATCGCTTTCAATTCAATACAAAATTTGAAATGAATCTCTAACTTATGATTAAAACTTACCGAGTAAGTAAGATCCCAGCCCTATTATCAGCGAAGAATGCTTTCAAACCTCTACACAGGTTGTATACAGTTGGATCGACTGACATCGTGTAGCCCACCACGTCGGGCTCTCCCAATAAGACCTGCATTCGCTTCCCATTTAAATTTAACGTTTGTTTTTTACCAAATGGCAACACTTCGCACATGCCTTGAACAGAAGAGTGGTCGTGCACTTTTTCTAGACATTGCAAATACCTATAATGACAACAATAACATTAGTATCACGTAGTTCTCTTGAATTGTCACTGTCAGATAACGTAACAAAATCCCATATTTCCATCACATATTTTACACATTCCTTTGTTATCAGACAATTCACAATTTAGTGGGACAGGCCCTAAATAAAACTGAGTCAAAACTAAATCTTTGTGTATGTCTAAAAACTGGTAATTCTTAGAGATATAAGAAGCTGCGTGAAATTTCATTCATTGTATTATGTCAGGTCATGTCGTAAAAGTTACAAGCCAAGTACCACTGGTCCCCGGCGTCTATGAGGTTGTCAATTAACTTCATCGTCCACTGCTTGGGATGGTAATGGAAGGCGAGGCAGTACGCCATCACACTCATCGTCAGCGCCTGTCGACCTCGTGACCTGTTTCCTGTATGAAACAATCACTTATTTTTTGCTCGTCTCGTTATTTACACATAGCTACCTAAGTAAATAAAAAATTATTATTTCAACTGGTAAAGTAATGAGTGGTATTCAAAACCGTATTGTCTTACCAAATTTGCTGTCGTACATGTTGAAAGAGCCAGTCAATATGCCGTAATGAATATCAGCCTTTTTCTCTTTAGTGCATGGCAACACTGTTAACGAGTGAGTTTTCAATGTCCCCCTTTTGAGATTCGCTGGGATGTGGACCTTGAAACATATTTGAGTAACATTAAATGCAATAAGTACATTTGAATATCTCATAATACAATCTTAGTCGTATTAGGTACGTGTTCTGGCTTCGGAATTTCATCCAGACCGCATACTGAATCGTCATCTTTCAAATGTTTTTGTGTTCCTCTAGCTCTTGGTTTTCCATCAGTCACTCCTATACTTGGGAACGGAATATCTAAATGACGGCTAAAATAATCATCAAATATATTGAAACAGTGGAAAGCAATAGACATACTATATCGTATCAAGTATTAAATATTGTATACTACCTTCTCCTTGCTTCTCGTAACCGTCTTCGTATTGCAGCACATTTCCTGAAAAGTATAAATTTTTTAACATTTCGTACAGTAGAAAAAAAAACAAATTTGCTAACAAGTAATTAATTAAACTCACCGACATTTTTTTCCTGTACATTTTTTCGAACCACAGACCCTGTCAATAACCATGTTATTATTATTCTTTCTATTCTATTACAAAAAGAAAATATTTTTATGCATATGTAATTTTACCTTAATTTACGCCGCTTTCTTTTAGCTCCTACCCTTCTAAAATAATAACACTTGTTTATAAATAAAATTAAAATAAAAACAATGCAAACAAAAACATCAATTTACCCCGGTCCACCAACAACTGGTATGTCCACAACAAAATCTTTATCTGCGTTTATGACGATCCCACTGTGAGGTTTTACTAATCTGAAATAATAAATTCCGTTTTGTTAAACGTTTCTTTTAACGTTAATCTTATTTAGAATGGACGGGTCTAAATCTAGTCGGTATTAGTTTCGTTATCAGTGTTTCAAATCTAGCTGTTCTTAATTAGTACATACATATGTTATGAAAATTTAATTAATTTAATTTCAGTAAATTTTAAATATGCACTTACTCGTGTCCCGATTGCGCAGGCAAGGGCGGCTGTACTTCTTTAGGCTGCACACTCGCTCGCTGCACGCTGATAAATTCTCCGCTTGTTTTTGGACTTGGTACCTATTGGTTGTGAATACACATTATTGTTGCATTACTGTACTTAAATTTAATAAAAATAATATTAAGAAAAGTCTATATGTAATAAGAGAACACAACAACATGACATTTTTTTTATTATCTACAGAAGACAAAGAATAAATCAAGTCAAATGCTGTTATAACAAATTAGAACTTAAAACTTACTTTTAATATTGATTTATCTGATGGTGTATGTTTTATTACAGCCGTAGGTTCCGGCAAATGTATATCTCCAGATAACATATCGTAATACCGCACTCTCTTCTTTTCTGTTCTCCTTCTACCTAATATGCTACCACTTCCTTCAGACGACGAGCCGAAACCATAATCAGGAAGCGTTGATCTTTTAAAAATATATACTTTTAATGAACTAGTACAGCAAAGTACTATGGATAATTATTATTTTTAAACCATACTTAAATATAATAGCATATATTATGGAGCTCAAAAACAGAATGCGGTGCTTCTTGGCACGACTCGAATTGTTCGCCGGTTTTTCTCCCTTTCCTCCTAACCCTCGGCCGTTTGGTCTCTCCCGCCGGTAGAATTCTGACTGGCTGGGATTTTTTATGTATATTACTCTATACATTTTATAAAATCATATACAGTATGTTTTAATTATGTATTTATTTTTTTTGATCATAGCCAGCTAGATCGGAAACAAAAACTAACATAACACTCCTCTATATACTTAACTGATTTACTTAATTACCTTGATTGTTTGTACCGCGGTGGTGCCAATGATTCTATAGGGCAATGAGATATGTACCGCAACCTAAAATTATTAATATAAATAATTAGTATAATCGGTATTCCTGTTCCGTACACACCCTTTTCCTCCTAAAAAAGGGCAGGAACAATAGAATATCGAGCAAACATCCACACTGACGGGAACTCTGTAACTTCCAGTTCATAACTGTCTTCTGTGCAGTTTGTAAGTTTTGAAATTCAGAACCTATTATTACCATCAAGTATACCGACAGAATTGTATTCTTTCCGAAGATTTGAATTGCAGCCGACGTAATATAAGTCATGACTTGATCCATATAGAAGTCCCGGATTTTTAGAGAAATTATTACCTTGTGTGCATGGACGGAGTCATCGGCACGCACGTGTCTTTGTAATGCCGCGGCTTAAAAGGCTTGGTCTTGAAATATGGACGTTGAACATTCTTGCATTTTTTATACTCTTTTTCAACTTGAATTGAAAAAGAAAATAGACGTTAGAATTATAAAGTTCAATTGAATAACTCTTATTGCCACGTTGAGAAGATAAATCTTCACTAAAGGCTGAATTAACCATTAATTATGAACAAATAAAATTGAAATATTTTAAATACTTACGCTCCTCTTGAAATAATAGAGCTTCAATAATTTCTTGAACATTCTTACAATCCGTAAATTGGATATGTTTACAGTATTTCTTATAATTTCCTGGACATTTACAGGGACTAAAATTAAAGCAAAAATGTAATGATTTCAAATGCGATTACATACGATGAATCATCATTTATCTAAAGATTGCAAATTATTTGCCGAAATACCTAAGCGATTGCACGTATACATCGACCATTGCAGATGTTGCCTAACTTTGGTCAACGGAGGAAGGGACGCACAGAAAGATGTTTTACATTCCTATGCGTCCTTGACTCCGTCAAATACACTTTCCCTTCCCATCCTTTCCTTATAAGAGTGGTAAGGAAATGTTAACTAAAATTAGGCCTCACGTCTGTTTTCTGTGTGCTCGTATTATTTTTTACTGGTGTCTATCACTATTAAAGATCACCGTTTATTACAGCAGCTATTATTTCTATACTAATTAGATAAGGTATTAAATATACTCTAATAAACATTTTAAATTGTTCTCGCAGTTTGATTTCGCTTACCGTTTTTTGCGTTCCATTGTAAAACATAAAAAAAATCCTGATTTTTATGCAGTTAATTACTTACGAATTTAGTACATGATTGATACGAAAATACACTTTTATTTTGACATATTTTAATAAAACATTATAAATTGATATTTGTATGACTTTGATTTTAGAATTAAAATGTCTTTGGTGAACTCTTTGACAATTGAGAAAAGTGTGTAGAATATATAACACAATTTAAATGAGGTTGCATATAATCCATTTTTATAATATTAATATGTATAACCCTAAACACACAACTTGTATTTAATTTTGATTTTTACGTAAGGTTATGTAATCCATACAAATTAACTTAAGACCTGGGACGATGACGTCATTTTCAATGTAGGGTATGCAAAAAAAAATGTTCTGGAAGGCATAAAGAAGAATCAATGCTATAATATACAGTTGTGTTTCTGAAAAATATATCTACATGCACTGATCTTGCAAGCCCAGCTAGGGACAACACCAGACTCTGGAAGGTTGTTGCATTCCAGTGGAGTTCATTCCTATGGACTATAAAAAATCTAACCTATTTTTAACAAGGAACTGATTTTAAAAGCTAAATAAAAAAAATTAAATTTAAAGAGCTTTATTTCCATAAAATAAACTGAAAACATCTGACACCATATTATAAGAAAAGTTACCTTAATTTCCCTTATGATAGATCATTTTGTCATTTCTATTTGCCTATTTCCTTTCATTTTTTTTAGTTTTAATGACATAGTTTTACCAAATATGATAATCTACATTTTTAATTTACAAACATTTTTTTATTCTAACTTCTAGCGTGTTATCAAAAGAAATTCTGAATATATCACTTTTAGAAATAAGGACGGCACCAACACCCCTTCCTGGTGACGCTTATGACACTATCCAGCAGAAAAAACGTAATATTTGATAGTATCATAGATTATCAGATATGCAATTCTTTATGTATAGAGTTATTATAAAGAGGAATGAATTCTTTTTTGTATGTATTAAAATAAGTCAATAACTACTGGGTTGTTTACAAAAATTCTTTCACCATTAAAAAGCTACATTATCATTGAGTAACATAGGCTATATTTTTTAATTTCATAAGAAATATGATTACAGTAGAGCATTTAAAATTGTGACACTCTGTTTTATGTAATGAATACTTAAGCAGTACTTAGTGCAGGTATCACATAGAGAATCTATATACGGTAATTTCCCTTTGTAATCACTCGATTAACTACATTATGTGTAGTTTATGATAACTAGAAAAATGGAATTGTTAAGAATCAACTAAACATTGAACTATGCAATGTCTCAAGATCTTCAACTCTTTCTTGAGCACGTTTTTTTTCTTTTTTGAAGTTTTCATAAGCTTCGTCGTCAGTTTTAAGTTCTAATCGGCAAAATGGACATGAATTTGTCTGAAAGCATAAAGAATTTATGAATTATATCTCTTACTTTGAGCATGCTAGCTACCTAGCTTTAAAACAAACCGGAAATTTTAAACAAAGAAATAACATTTTTACCTTATTCAACCAAGTTAATATACATGTTGGATGAAAGAAATGTTCACAAGGAAGATTTTTTGCTTTTTCATTTATTTTAAACTCTTTAAGACATATTGGGCAGTTCTTTCCCTCAGTATCAATTGTGATTTCTGGCAAATTATTGACAACTTCCTTTGATGCAGGTGGTGGTAGACTGAAAATTTTGAAACAATTGTTTTCAATACAAACATCGATATAATAATAACCTTAGTGAGTTTTTAAATAATTTTATGAAATATAATATCACAATATCTACCTGGGCCATTGCATATTCGGATTGTCATTATCAAAACCATAGTCCAAAAGAAATCTTGCAATATGAAGTATGTGATCTGGTTGCTCACCATCTGCCAATTCATTCCATCCCATCTCTTGAAAATAATCCATATTAAAATACAATTATCGCTTTATAAAAAATCCTTTCCTATGTAATTTTTTCTATGTAAAATGGTAACCAATGTTTACAATTTTGCTCAAGTCATTGCATTTTGACACTAGAAAATTTGGTTTGATTGATTTGATTTGACATTGACATTTTGGTTTTTAATTTTATTTTTATGGTCTGGTAAAAAGACCTTTAAGTCTATCCAGCTTGTCTTACGTGGAACCCGGTTAAATATTAAACATGTTATAAATTCGCCCACATGTTTAAAGATGAATGTACTTTTGGGTTTTTTTTTTCGACCCCGACTACAGTATACTTTCTACTGATTACCATAACTATTTGATAATAAACAACGTTAAAATCAGCTAGGCATTTGTATCCATCCAAATCCACCTAAATTTTAACCCTCTGAATATGAGTCTAAAATCCAATTTTCCATTTTTTTTTAATCGGAACGTAAGCGATGCAACACAATTTTCTAGCTCCAGCTCTATTCGGTGCAAAAATCCTTTTGCAAACTCGAAACATGACAGTGATACATTTAGGGTCTGTCCCACCACTGGCTGATAGTGGCTCAGATAGCTTAAATATAACGACAATCAGATAAGGGAACCAAATCGGATATTTCCATCACGTATTTTACACGTTTGACTGTTATCAGACATTTTACAATTTAATGGGACAACTCATTAATGATTTAATGTTGCAGATAAAAGGAGAAAGCAAGAGGCAGGGGATTTGCGAGACTTGCTAAACCACAACCAGTGTTTCAGTGTCATGCTGAAGCTGGAGTACCAAAACATTTACTCCACCTTAACTATTATTTAAATTCAATCGGTTAATGTAAAAGATGTAGCCATCTTTAGCTGTAGTTATAATTATTTAAGTACCTTTTATCCGGTATTCAATATAAAAATAATATTTTTGTAGCTGCCACAAATGTATTTACTAACTTATTTTCGAAGCAATTATTGTAGATCAAAGTAACATTTGAATAAAAATAATATTAGATATTTATAATGAAGCAGTAATGATATGCATCTCACTGTTTATTTTAGAATGAAATAGGTCCTTGAAACTAGCATTCCTTGCCAGATAAGGCACGTCGTTGAGTTGCGAACTAGGACATATTATGCATGCAAAATATATTACAATGTGATCACAGCGTACCTGAGTAAGCGCACGGTCAGTAGTTAAATCAGTCTTCGAATTGATCCAGTTTTATAAAAAAAAACAATTTTAACAGTAAATATTAAATGAAAAATGTAAGTGAAGGTTACTTACGTTTTTCTTTTCTCAACAAACGATTTTTGTACATTTTAAACCACACACTGTTACATTCATCGCTTCTAATTGAAAAGTGCAGTTAGAAAGTGGATGAATTGGTTTAAACTTGAACTCAAGAAAGGCCGAAATAGGACCACAAAATGCATATATGGTATAAGCATACTCTCAGCTTACTCATTCGGGCCAGTAGCTTTAGATTGGTACCTATGGCTTTAAATGGTCCATCTCATTCATGCGCTTGCGCAAAGGAAGTCTGTTGATCCAGCTAAGGGTACAAGCAAGTAAAGTCGTGTTTCGAGTTTACTGAGATTAAAATGTTTGTTATTTAAGTAATGAAACCAGTAAGTATTATTCTCCTAGCTCGTCGTTCGTCACCGTTTGATTGTATGCGTACTTACACATGTTGTGTTTGTGTAGGTAATGTTTACGCGTTGTATTTTTACGCAGTCTCGTATCAGAACGCCCGTTGAATAGTCGGGTTGTGTTTGGTGATAAGTTATTTTTTTTGTATTACTAGAGGAAAATCTAAGTTTTGGTAAGATATTTAACTAACATTTATGTTAGAAATTACAACATAATATAAAATGTTTTTGTTATACATAGTTGATTGTAAAAAAAAATAAAACCAAATTACCGTAACCATTTAGATTAAGAAAATTTCATGTCAAATTGAAAAACAATTTGGAAAAACCGTCATTATTAACATAGTTACACTGTATAGTTTTAAATAATTTTAAATGAAAAAAATCTTAAATATGTGTTTTCTTATAACAACAGACTGAAACTTGTTTACCGACGCAAATTACGACGTACTAGTACGATAAACAATACTTACTATTCCTAGGAGATTACTAAAACTCGTTCTCTCGCGTATGCATTACAAATACAAGCGTAGTGCAACGGGTTCATTACCGGTTTGAAATGGAAACCGTTGTGTTTGTGTTAAATTATCAAACCTACTCATGTCCCACGCTTCAAGCATTCTTCGACCCTAAATAAATACGAGTAATTTTATAACTTTCACCGGACGTAAAGATGTGTAACACACCTTAAGATGACATCACGGTTATAGATAAGCTCCGAAAATTTTATCAATTTAGATAACGTTGATCTAAAAACCTAAGTAACGATGCGTTCCCGTTGTAAACTCCTGTAATTTTATCAATCAAAACCTATGTATAATTATTCTATTTAATAATTTTAGCTCTGAACCAAGTGGTAAATTAAGAAACACATAAGTGATCATGAATTTTAGGTTTGTCTGCGTTGTATAGAGCAGATCCACCCATTGACTTTTGTCTTTTTTGGGACGATGAGTGGGAGTGAAGGCCTGTAATCGTAGAGCATATCTAAATGGTTACCTGCAACATCTTTTCCAATTGTCAATTAGCAGTGTGCTAACAAAACAATGCTCCCATTCGTATTGTGCCAAGGAAACTTTATGCTTCACTTGAATACTAGGACGTCATTCTATCCAAGCCGATATCATCTATAGCTAGGGCTGCTGTGCCCTTAGGCAACCGGTCAGGTTGCTGGATAGAAAGGGGGTCCTCACAGATCTTTCAATCACTCTCTCTCTCTCTCTCTCTCTTCTATTCCTATGTCCCCAGAGGGCGTCCACAGTACGCCGCCAGCTCGCTATGTCTTTGGCTCTGCGTTGTATATCTGACCATGACAGCCCGATTACTTAACTAACCCTATCCAATTCTGGGTGTTGATGGCGTTATGTCATTTTTATTACATTTGTAAAATAAAAGCCTCGCGTCTTGAATACCTCTAAAGAAACATTTAAAAACTATGTCTCCCACTCACACCTATTTATAGACAAGATAAATCAGTAAACAAGTTATGTATTTTATCTGCCCTTGGCACTGATGTCATCAATTTATTATTCCTGCAAACACAGGAAGGAGCGCAGAGTTTAGTGTTTAAATAAATAAGTAAACAATGTAAAATTTAAGTAACATGTTATATTTTTTTTAAAGTAACAATGTTATTTGACGTAGTCGTGTTTGTTTTTCATGGAGGTATTTCACATAAACCTAGAATATTCCATGCAATTTCATGTTTATCATACTAATATTATAAATGCGAAAGTTTAAATGGATGGATAGATGTCTGTTAGAGTTTGTAGCCTAAACGGCTGAACGGAAATATAGAGAATATCGTGGAAGAACACATAGGGTACTTACTTTTGTTTTTTTTTATTTCTCGCAGACGGAGTCGCATTTGGCGATTTCTTATACATGGAGACATCTTATACGAGTGATTCAGTCTTAACAATACATCTATTCATAAATTACCTATTTTATAACAATTAAACGTTAATCAACCTTCAAACGTAACCTTTACCTTTAATAGCATGGTGTTAAAAGATTAGATTCGATATTAAAGATACAGATATTTAGAACTTATTGAATAATAATATCGAAAAAATATGTACATTTTAAAATAATAAATTGTTGGTTTACGCTAACGTACAGGAATAAAAATATCGTTATCACACCTTTTATTTTAGGAAAAATTATTCATCGATTACTCACGAACATGTTTCATACAATCAAACCGAATATCTACGGTTCTCGCTGTATTACGTTGTTAAATGCAAGCGATATACATTAACTGACACGAGTAGACATAAGAATGTGATCGGCAGTCTAACTAGAGCGTATCAAGTACTATTTTCGTTAAACGATCGTGCTAACACGCGCCAGTGATTCAATAGAAACTAAGTGCGTGTAGCGTTAATACAAAAATTAATTAGGCCTTGAAATTTATTCGTGATAAACGCTGCAATAACCCCTGATCTAAGATAGCAATGACACATAGTTTAAGAATAACCGCTCTACTATAGTAATACTTCAATCTCACTTCTTTAGAGGAAAATGAAAGTGATAACTATATATTTTAAAATATTTTCCATGAAATGGTGATAATGCAACGGTTATATGTTTCTACCATTTGGGATTACCCACGTTAAGGCGTCCGTTGTTTGAATAATGTTAACGCCAAGATAAAAATAAATTTTTTCTTACAATATACAATTTAAAACCAAATCCTACCATGAAATTCGACTTCCTAAATATTCGTAGTAAAATATATTGTTTGTTTTTGTTAACGAGGACAAAATCTAGACGAAGACGGACAGTTCTTAGTTACTTTGATAATCTTTTCTAAATTATTAAATAACTTGTCCTATATTTCTAATTTGAGGAGTTATATTTCAGTATACAGCGTTATAAAATGTCTGACCTTAATTCATAGTTTACTCAGAATCTGCGTTAAACAATGAATGATGTAACGCCATTGATTAAGGACTCGTTTTCAATGTTTTTTTTTTAAAATTTCATTCTTGTTTTGTGAATATATTAATAGTTTTGAAAAATATCCGTAAATGTATTAACGATTGGAATGTAATTTTTTAGTCATCTTGAGATCTCAAAAATGCTTTAGAATTTGTTCTTGTTATAAATTTAGTTTGTCTCGAACTGTGACGTAATGTTAGGACTTCGTAGGACTAAAAATTTCATGCTTTTTTGTGTTTTAAATATTAAAAATGATGTATTTTTGTTACAGACAATGGGGAATGTGGTGTTTTCAGTGATCTGGCTCCTGATACTAATTTTCATAGCGTTTTGGGTCGCGGGCATAGCTGCAGGGATATATATTATCGTACTACCCTTTACTGTATGCGTAGAACCATTAACGGCTAGTATTTTTATTGCATCTGATATCATTAACATAGTAAAACCACCGTTGAGCATATAAATCGCCAAGTTATTGCGTTACCTACCTTAAATCGACGTACAGAAATTGAGTGTTCCACTTTCCTAAGTTCCCTACCCCGCCAAATATTCCCCATTCTTATTAAGGATGGGAAAGGGAAGAGGAATATAACGTGAAATTACACGAAGTTATTATCCTTTATTTATTTGTCATCAACAATGTAACAGTTTGGACTAGATTTTATTATCGTTGGTTTTCACTAGAAAAACAATACAAAAACGTGTTATCTCGTTGATTGATGGTTTTGATTATGGTAATAAATGGTTACTCATACAATATGACTGTTTCCTTTTAATTATGACAGGTAATATTAGCTGGAAAATTCTTTTTTTTTTGCAGGGCTTAACTGATTTCCTATTATCAGTGGTTCAGTTCCCGAAATACTGTGCTCAAGCGATGATGGAAGGGAAAGGTTTCAATTGATTTCTAGTCAAATTAAAATTTTATATAAGAACTTTTATAATACCTGATTAGTACACACAAGTAACTGATTAACATGTTATTAATAAATGAGAATGTTTGTATTTATTATGTATGATTAAGTAAAAATGTTTTTTTTTACATGTTGTATTCTATTCTTTTTTTTTCTAAGATAATAAAAATACCTCACCGTTTTTGTCTTTTTTAATTTATCACATGAAAAAAATAATCTCAATCACATAATGATATTTAAACACATGAAATTATGCCTTGTTTTGTATTGAATATAACGTAAAATTCAATGAATTTGCGTTCATTGATGAATGAACGTAATATCATATTAATGTATTTAAAAAAGGGATAAAACTTCATTTTTGTTTTACAAAAGCAATACGTACTTTGTTAAAAAAAAACAATTTTTTTATAATTTACTATAAAAGTGTTAGCAAAGGGCGGTGAGGCGATCGCCCAGGGCGCCCAACAGAAAAGGGCGTCACTGATCTACGAAATACATAGTGTCACGAAACCCCACAAAGGCAAGTAATCAGAGCCTTATAGAAATCTCGCTCAAGGCACTGGTAGCAAAAACCTGTGTACAAAAGATTTCATTTCTCTTCATTTAATTTCAACTTTTTATTTATTCGAATAGAATTGCAATTGCAGATCTATTTATGCCACAGATTATAAAACCCAAGGCGATAGGAATCCTTATTATTAATAAAGCGTACACACTACTTAGTTATGTATAATAGGATGTCAGCAATCACAGTATATTTTTAATTTATTCTTTTTTTAATATACGGCCCTACATTTACCATATAGGCTATTATTTTAATACCTTCTACCGAGATAGTCATACTAGAAAGGAACAACTACAAGTCAATAGCAAAAAAGCAAGATTACTATTGTAACGGTATTTGTTGGCCATTGGCAGAGACCATTGTCATCTAATTTGAATTTAGACATTTTCAAATGAATTTTTTACCGAAAGTAAACAATTAAATGAAGTTTTTTATAATGTTATGCGGAAGCCGCACGGAAGCTCGTCTGTTTGTATAGATCAGTGAATTCTACAGAAAAAAAACATAATAATCAATATAATCAACATTCCAAACTGTATCAAACAGTTAATGTTTGCTCTAACACCTTTGTAGTAATGATGTAGTGGGCCTATAAATAAAAAAAACCCGTATCTATGCTTTCCCAAACAAGAAACATAACAAATGTAACAAAATTTTAACTTTTTAAATCTCTGATTATTATGCTTAAAGGTCGCTGTGTTAACTGTGAATGTATAATCTTTGAATATTCTATGAAATAGTACTATAACACTTTTATTATGTTTCTGTACTTGTCATCGCATGCTTTAATTTTTTTAATTTCACTATTTTCCACTTATTTCTATAGAATTCAAAAAATCACTCAGATTTAAAATCCACTTCAATACCATTCTAATATGCGGTGAAAACTCAATATACCAACTCATATGTCTTTATAATTGTTTCTAAACATTCACGAAGAGAATTGGCTTGCTCCGAATATTTTGTAATAATTTCTCTGAAAAACAAATAGACAGTGATTATTTTAATGTAAGTATTATAATTTTTACATAAAAATTCTTATAATTCTTACTTATATTTAGTTAAATCGCTCTCGTCAAACTTAAAATCTTCCATCAGATCTTCCGCCTGCAAAACTTCAGCAATATACGACACGAACAATTTATCATCTCGTTTGATGATTCTGAAACACACACACAAATACATGTATTAGATAAAGTTTTTTTTTTTCTACATTTCGAAAAATGTTTACGCAAAATGTAGTGTTAAAAAGATTTATCGTATTTAAAAATTTATACGATCGTTCATTAACATTTATAAAATCGGATAACATTTTTTAAATATTCGCGTGCTTAAAAAATAATGCGATAAAAGAGTTCAATATTCCCACAATGTCACTGACCTGTTCAGAACATTACAAATGTTACTTATTTTCAAATAAACTTCTTTGGCATCTAATAATTTTCTTCGAGGTTCAGATATATTTACATCTTTTTGACACGTCATACTAAAAAAATCGAATAAAAAAAATCGGGGTTGAAATATTTTTTATGAGCCAATACCACAAAATTCACAGAATTGGTGTACAATGATTAAAAAAAAATCAATGCAGTATAAAAAAAACCTATTTTTAAACTGTATTTATTATAGCAATACTTGCATATATAAAGCATTTTAAGGGAATTTTAGTTTACGTTAAATACACAATAATAAATACAATACTTACCAAAAGGCAAAGACAATTATAAAAGTCTGTCGTATCTCTAGTAACAAATTATTGAAAATATTTTCAAATCCAAAATGTTTATCATTCGGCCATTCTTTAATATTTTCATACTGATTTTCATAATCTAAATAATCGTTACTATAATCTAAATAAGACTCTTCAGAATCAATATCGTTTAATTCTAATTCTTTCATTTTAAGTTTTTTTTCGTAATCCGCACATTGAGTGAAGTTTATAACGATTTTTGGTTGTTTTGAATCTTTACTTGTTGGTATTTCATTAATTGAGGAATCAGTATTGACTTCGTGTGATGTTGGCGGATCATAAGTCGGTGTGTGAGACTCCTCGTCTACAAATGACCTCACACGATCTTTTACAAATACATAATTATTAGAATCCAATTCAGATAGCAATAAAGTTTTACTTTCGGATTCCTCATTAATATTAATATTTTCCTTTTCTTCAACTTTCTGTAAGAATAATTTAAAAATTACTAATATCACTTTTCAATACTAATATTATAAAGAGAAAAGATTTGTATGCACTAAACAGACTCCGTAACTATTGAGTGGATTACAAAAATTCTTTCGCCTTTAGAAAGATAAATAAATTACGACACATTCGTACGGTGAAGGAAAACATCGTGATGCAATCTGCACATATCAACGAAGAAATTGAAGTATATGTGTGAAGTCAACCAGCGTGGTTGACTAAGACATAGTAACCCTTAGGGTAGGCTAAGCCCCTAAATAGCACATATAGTGAGCTGGTGAATGATACATTATCACAGAATACTTTACATCAACGAGAAGGGTATGGATGTCCGGAAAGATGAGATATATAATCTTTATCAGGCAAAGCTGGGCGGAATTGCTAGGTTTATATAATTATAAAACAAAAAATAACGTTTACTTACATTATCTTCATTTTTAAATATCGATCTTACTTTGCACTTTGATGGCGAAGATACTGGGGAAAGTTGTATTTGTATTTTTTTGGCAATCAATGTATGTTCGTTACTAGTCTGGAATGCTTTTTCCTTTGCATCTGAAATAAATTAACCACCAAGTCAAGTCTGTAATATTAACATAGTTTAATTTTTAATTGATAATTTTCTTTTACCTCTGTTTGCCTTGTTACAGGTATTTTCGATATTTTCCTCTTGTACGTCGATAAATGAGTCATTTTGACTAGTAGATAGATTTGGATTTTGAATGTCGTTTAACAGTTTCGATAGTGATTCAGAAGCTGTTTGTAAATCTTCACATCCCTCGTAAGCAGCCTAAAGTATAGCACAAACAATGAAATCAATAATCTAGAATCTAGATAGTTACACATTACATCCATATATTATCAAATTATTTACCTGTAGAGCATCAATCAAGTAAACACCATAACTGTACATTTCCATATATTGCTTTGGAGTCGGATGAATATTTACTGTTCCTGAAACAACGATCGAAAATTATTCAACTAAAAGTTGACATTTATTCCAATACTATTATAGCTGTAGCCCGCAACTTCGTTCGCGTGGTATTAGAAAACAGACGAACTATGCAAATAATAAAAAACTACGTGTTCCTTGGGAATCGGACGCTTTTCGGGGATGAACCTCAACTCATGTGTACTTCAGACTTTGTTTTATATCTGTGTCGATTTTTAATAAGATATGTTGAACCGTTGCAGAATTATCGAGTAAACATTAAAAAACAAAATTAATGCATCCCACGGGGACCGTAACTATTTCCGGGATAAAAAGTAGCCTATATGATCTTCCAGATTATGCTCTACATCTGTGCAGAGTTTCTTGGAGATCCGTTGAACCGTTTAGGTTACAAACTCTAACAAACATCCATCCATCCATCTAAACTTTCTCATTTATATTACTAGTATGAAGTATGATTACCTTTTTCATCACTAATTTTTGTAAGAGTATTAGTCAATTTATTCCCAGCATCGACGATATCACGATCTTTATGATATTTCATTTTAATGCAAGTTGTCGCCTCAAACAAAGTCCACGGCGGAGCTAATACATTAGGAGACTGCGAAGGATTTTTTTCTAACACTTGTGTTAGCGCTTCTTCCATTATTTGAACAAAACGCGAAACCCATTCATCGCTATGGGATTTCAGATTTTCATTCATAGCTTCGCTTGTCACTTCAAACATAACATTACTGCTGTCTTTTTCACTTTCTTTGCCAACGGAAGAGAGGTGTATATTTCTTGTATTATTATTTTCATTCCAGTAATCATTAGGACAAGGCGCAATAGAAACTATTCCCGAACTAGAAGAGTCTTCCGTTGGTGGTAAAATAACATTAGCGCTAATATTACACTCATTATTTAACTGTTTTACTGTTCCTTCAGGTATTTGTACCATTAAATTAGCAAATGAATGTGTTTCGTCTTTCTTTTTAAAGAAAATACTAGATCCCTTTCTACGCCATTTGAAATTTTTCTCCTTTACTTTATTGTCTATATCTGTTGCATGCGATTTCGGTGAATTCAAATTTGCATTCCAATTATTCGAAACTGACATATTATCATTGTTTAGCATTTCTTTTAATGTAGAGTCAGCGAGAATAGTTTTAACACTTTCAGTATTTAATATTCGAGTGAGTAATTCAGAATCTAAATCGGTTTGAACACTAGCGTCGACTGTATTTTTTTCTTCAATAGGATTGCTGGTTCCAATTCCTATACTAACTTTAGTAGGAATGTCACTCGTTAGAGTTTGAAGTTGTTTTTTAATTAATTCATTATCTTTAACATCGTATTCTTGATCATTTGAGACATCTTGCATAGACACATCCTGGGATGTTTCATTTGGATATAGATGGTTTCTAATTAAATTTGCATCACCCAAAGTATTAACTATTAATTTAAATTCGTTAACGGTGAAGATTAAAATCCTATCAGTATTTTTTTGTACTTTTAAATGTTCATAATTGCTCAGTAGTATCTGAAAATATCATTTACTTCATATAACATGGGGTCGTCATGACGGCAGAGGGGTGAACTGCTCCCTAGAGAATCGAAAAATGTAAAATACATGTAAAAGCTACTTCGAATAACACGAAATTAATAATGGCTGCCCTTTCCCTACACCTACATAATTAAAACGGCGCCCATAACATATGAAACAATATACAAAAGGGAATTAATTAAAAATTACACATGTGTATGTCAAAACACTCATACTTACAATTTTATCATGTTCTTCTACAAGCTTTCGGCAACAATCCAGAACATAAAAGTGTCGAGTATTATTTTGATACATTGAATTTTTAACTGCGAAACAAAATATAATATTAAGTTGTTTATCTAGTCTAGTACAATACAAATAACAAATGTTATTTATTAATTATACATACCAATTGAAACCAAACCTGTTCTAATATTGCAGGTTATGAAATTCATTGCTTGTCGTGCTTGCCTCTTTTTATAGTCATTATCACTTCTCCTATTGACCTGAATGTCTTTCAATACATTTTCTAGTACTATGAAATGGAAAGTTTTACCTTGGAAAAAAAAAAGTTTCAAATAAAAAGTTATATATCTAGAAATGAATGAAAAAATGAACATAAGTACTTCAATATATTAAACAACTTACTGAATTGAAGCAAGAATTTAAGAAAACAGATGTGATTTTGAAATACATTTGCATCAGGAACTAAATATATATAATCCTGAAAATTGTTCATGTTATCTTCTTCAGTTGTGCCAACAACAGTGTTCTGTAATTATATGAATAAAATTATCTTAGATTGTACATTGTACTATGAAGCATAGCGTTTTTGGTTCACATCAGTATTTGGCTGTATTTTTAACTCAATTTAAATTGATGATCTACAGATCAGCTTGTGTTTAAAAAGAAATCCGTGCACTGGCTTGCGACTAAGCACAATTTATAGCAGCAGAATTTGTGTTTCAAGGTATAAAATGTATCTCATCAGGCAACTTGGGATTTTACATAGTACATATTGTTGAGCCGCAAGCTGTTTTTTTATATTTTAATTAAAGGTAGAACAGAGTGTACAAATAATGGATATCGATCATCGAACTTTTATCACCACGGATGTCAAAAAGGAGAGAAACAATGGAATCATTTTGTAAAGATAATATACTAATACACTGTTTGTGTGTACTTTATTATAGTTACATTTAATGTAGAATACATGTTTGTAATAGCCTGAAATGGTGTGCCTTATGATTCTCTAGGGAATGACACCAAAATGGCAATATAGCCATAAAGTGAGCTATGTGGTGTTAGAACATCAGCAACGATATGCCATGGTGTATGGTGTATGGATGCAACATTATTAAATTTTAGATAAATTGTTCTTACCAATCTATACTTAATATTATAAAGAGCAAAGATTTGTAATTTAGGATTTTTGTATGTGTTTGATTTGCGTAAAAACTATTGGGCTGATTTTAAAAATTCTTTCACCATTAGAAAGGTAATTTAACTGTGAGTAACATAGGCTATAATTTCAAAATACTCCATACATTGTTAAAAAAACATATATGCCATATGCAAAATACACTTACCTTGATTAGTTTTTGATTTATCCTGTCCATTTGGTGAACTCCAAAATTACCAATATGCAATGTTCCAATAGACATACTATTTATTTCAGGTCCTATAAAATGAAATTTACTTAAAATATAGATTAACATTGCAAAAACAACAAGTCTGTACTTACTGTTAGTATTTACTTGTTGTTCAATGTTATTTAATATATTTGTCTGTCGTTTTAATGATAATATTTGCCTCAAATCACTAGCAACAATTGACTGTTGGTGTGTACTGGACAAGGGTTCCGGTTCATCTTTCATAGAAGTATTAGTTGCTGAAACTTCTGTAACTGTTGACTTATATCCTTGTTCTGGCATAATAAACCATGAATGGCTATTAACATGATTGATTCTTTGAAAGCGTTCACTAAGTGGTACTGTGGTTGTATGAACATAATTATTTTTAAACCCTATATGGTCGAGATCTATGTTTACTTTAATCTGTGGTTGATTTATTGGGAAAGAATTATTGGGAATTGATGTTGGTGGTGATGTGGCCACTGGAACACTGAACTTGACATCATTAAATGTATTTATATTACTCCATTTCTGATCTATATGGCTTGAAGATAAACTGTCGTGCATGAATGGTTCATTAATGATATGTTCATTAAAAATTGAACTTCTGGATTCCGTATTATGTATATTTTGTTCATTAGTTCCAGATGCAAAATTGTTCCTGCATATATCTTGTGGTGGGTCTTCTGGTTCTGGATAGCCATCAGAATGGTCTTGTCCGCCAACACAAACTCTGTTATCTGTTATCTTTTTACACTTATCATTCTAAAACAAGGATCAAAGTTGTATATCAAAATGTTCAAAAATAAGTCAACTTTATTTAGGTATACATACTTCACAAGCAACAAAGTTCTTGGAACACATATCTTGAAAACATGTGACTGTAACAATAACGCTAAAATATGATAAACCAATAAAGTTCGGTTTAACTTTACCTCAAAATCAGTTAAATTCCATATTGCTTCACCGGTAATAGTATTATAATAATATATTCGCCTATGGTGGGACTTCGATCTACACGTAATCCATGGATCCCCAGCCGGACTTGGCATACATTCATTAGTACTACTTTTATTCATGCTTTATTTATTTACAATAAAAATACTTATTACAATGGCACATTTCAGCATTCAGCAAATTTCTCAGGTGACAGGTGACATTTTATTTTTACTTTTGTGTTTCAAAACGTTTTCAAAGAGTAAATATAACAAAACTATTGACTTAGACATTAAAGAGTAAAAAAATAATTGTTCTTTTTTTTTCGAAGAGAATTCTTTTCTTTCCAATAATTTCCTCCAAGAGAAAAGAAGACTTTATACTTATGCACATCTGCCAGCTTTGATTGCAGCAGTGCAGTGAGCTTTTAAAATAATGTACCGTTGGCAACAATATAGTTAAATAATGATATTTATGACTGCAATTTGTAATTTTGAAGAGGCAAATTTTCTAAATTACAAATAAATCCGTATATTAACCAAATTAACAAAACGTTCCATAGTCTTCTGGTAACAGATAGCTAGTATGCTATTTTATTTCCCAAAACAACTACGTTATGAATTACTTACTTAGAAAAAAATAATGAAACTACGTTAATAGGAACACTCCAATTAGCATCAACTTGACCTTTCTTCTACAAAATAGGGCGTTGATTCAGTTTAACATAGATGTTGGTAAAAATATCTTGAGAGGTGAGAAGAACACTTCAGTTCATTCATAACTAGACGGTTTTTGATGTATGTAGTGAATTAGTTTATACAGATATATCTAGGTACTAGGTAGATGTATTCAAAAAAGTAGGTCTAGTGATTCAGAGTAGTTTTCATAAGTAATATTAATTTTTCGATTCTCTTGGGATCAACACCTCCCCCCCACCCTTGAAGAAGCACTTGGGACTAGTTTATAATTTTTAAGATGAAATAAGTACCACTTTAATCAAGCTTTAGGTTTATACGTATATTTATTTGTTAAGTTTCTGGCAACAATTTTTTAAATTGATTATTAGGCTCATAGCACTACAGGCACATGATACTTACTACACTGAGTAAGAATACATGTGTGAATATCAAATATCTTACAAGATATTACAATAATGAAAAAAAAAAGGAAAAACAAAATAATGTGTAGAGAAAACAGTTGTTTTTCTCTACACATTATTTTGTTGTATAAGATCACGCGCACATTTTTGACTAAACTATCGCACAACTGTTTAGTCCCTCTTAGTTTCCTAAGAGCTTGTATGGAGGCGAGCACACTACTCGATCTTTAGTTGTGCAACTAAACAGTTGATTGGGATGCACAAAAGTTGTGCGATAGTTTAGTCAAAGATGTACGCCCTCTCTAAACATTACAAGAAATACAAAATAGCAAAAATAAAATTTCACATGGTGTATAACATTTTAAATTAGTTATTATAAATGTAACATATTTTGCATATATCATACATAATATTAGTATAGATAAAAATAACATAATATACGAAAAAAACTTGTATTATTCACTTTAATACATAAATAAATTATTTCTTTCAATATAAACAATGTTTCATTTACACAAGTTTACATAAATGCAGTTAAATGATTATCAAAAATATAAACTGGAACAACCACAACATTATTTTACCTAACACAAAAATGTAAATACAATCATTACATTACATAATAAATAATTTATTTTGAACCGCATAATTCTCCTTTTTAAAGGAGACTTACACTTTTTCTCTTATATAAGCTTATCTACACAACGAGTTTAATCTATTTATTTGTACTATTTATTACACTTCTATCACAATGCTTTTACTCCAAAAAAAACCTACATCTAATTAACAATGTAACATTTGATACAACCTATATTCAACATTTTCTATTTATTTTGAGCAAGACAATATCTGGGCTCCTGTAGTTCATATGTTGTTCATCTTCTGGTATTTTTTGTACATGAAAGGTATCTGTTAACTTCTCATAAAACTCATTCCAAAGTCTTTTCTGAACTTCAGAATCACGCATTTCTTGTGTTAGATATATAGTTGGTTTCTTCAATATTGTGTAGTTCAAATTTTGTAATGTTTGAATCAAAGGTTCTACAGCCTGAAAAGGTTAGTATCAGATCAAATAAGCTAAAAGGTTATAAGTAACTTTTAAATCAGCCATTATAAAAGTTAAAAAACATTGATGTAAATGATTGAACATTTCGCAATAAGAAATACATGCAATAATAACAAAAACAAACCATACAAAAAAATCTTAAACATGAACAATACTTACAATTTATACACATTAGCATGGTAAAGTGTTTAAATTCCATTTAAATAATACATCAGAAATTCTTAGTAATTAAAAAAATGTTATTTACACTTTTATTAATCAGTTATTAAAAGCAACAAAAGTCACACTCTTTGTCGCTTAATAAAATAAACTAACTTAATAAATTAATCTATCAAACAAAATCAGATATAAATTATAAAGTATCAATTGGCTAACTTATTTTTTAAGGATCATTTATAAAAATCACAGACAGAAGCTTAAATAATTTAAGAATAAAAAGTAAGGCCTATAAAAGGTCATCAATTATTATCAGTCAATAAGTACATAAATAAAATTGAATTACATGCAAGCACTATATAAATAAAAAAGTAATGAACCATGCATTTAAAGCTTATGATAATAAAACATAACTTAGACAAAGCATCATGCAAAAGTAAACTTTTGTTAGCATGTAAAAATTTTTAAGTATTGACATAAATTACATCTTCATAGTAAATACAATCAGCTAAAAGAACCATATCAAATTCTTGTTTATGTATATCAGAATTATTGTCACTCCATTCTAAAACTTCTGCAATTGCATAGCCACCCATACTACCAATCTTTTGCTTATTTTCACTGATATTTAATCGAAGTAATGGCAAAGCTTCAGGTAAATCTGTCAATGTTACTTGAGCACTGGAAAAACGTTAATACATATAAAAAATATAGTTAAAGTGAACAACAAGAATATTTTTTTAAAGAGCATACAAACCCTAAAGTAGCTGCTGTAAGTCCAACAATACCTAACCCAGATCCCAATTCTAATACCCTTGTTCCACTTAAGAATTCGGGCTTTTCTTGACATATCGTTTCAAGATATTTTGCTAGCACTAGAGATGCGTCCCACACTACACAATTCACATCTCCTTCAAGTTTTTGATATATCTTTAAAGTTTTTAAACATATCTCTATGTCAATTTCACGCGAAAACAAGTCATTTGTTGATAAACTGCCTCTGCGATGAGGCATTTGTAACTTGAATCGCTTAATCTTGACGACTATAAGTAACTTTGATACGATAAAGACCGCAGTAATGACACTAACGTATTGAATCAACTTTTAATTACGTTTTCACTGCACTCGAACACTATTTGCTACTGAATCTTGTTTATAATCTATTTCTATATTTTGTTTTGGATACTTTTCATTAGTAGGGCACTGTCAAGCTGCTGAAGTCAAGTGTCAATGTCAAATTATAAGTTGATTTATTTGACAACTCAGATTAGGGATGCTGTTGTACAATCGGTTACGAATCGTTTAGATTTTCGATAGTTTCCCTCATAGAACTTCGAGTCGATACTTTCGGTTTTTTTTAAATTATAATACAAATATTTTTTAGCCTTGTACGTAAATCCACGGACTACAACATATTTAGCTTTTAGGTTTAAAGACTTTATTCTGAAAGACAATTTTACAAAGTCACATGGGAATATTAGGCTAAGGCGTTTAGCTGGAATCGAATCAAAAGAGCATGGTCAAAGTAAACCTGACAAAGAATGAGCTGGAGGAAGTTTGGGTAAATAATAAAATGATATTTTTTAGACTTTATTGATAACTATGATTTAAGAATTAAACTGGATTTAAGTTTAAATAGGTACGTAGTATATTACCAGAAAGTATTAAAAATATTCATTGCCGTGCTCAGAGTCGTTAAGTGGCAGACGAGTAGCAGATTGCATAATATTCTCCGATATATCCAACGTCCACGGATATCTAAATTTACTCTACGCAAATGTTTAAATCAACAACAATCCATTAAATGACACCAAGCTTTGAAAAAAATAAGGCAACAATTTGTTTTAACAAAAGTAGTGGACTTAACAACTTTATCATTGTTTTAAATAAACTAATGATGTAATACATACATTTAAAACTTTATTAGCTAGTAAGCAGACGGAATGATACCTAAGATTTTTGTTTGTTTTGTTTCATCAAGTTGAAAAAGAGTCCCAAACTATTACTAAATGCACTAAGAATTAGTTTTATTATACAATACATACAATCTTCTGTTTATCAATTCGTAAATGATAAATATATTGCTTTTCATGCATTAGTTTTCGAAGTTGTTTTGCCTGTGTGTGATGCAATTAAAACATTGTCAAAATAAAGAGGCAAAAAACAACTAGTATTTTGTACGAAAAAACATTAAAAATAATATTAACTGACATACAGCGTTTTCGGTTAATGTCTTCAAAATACTAACCTCAATTGTAGGCTAATTCAACAGTAAAATTGTATTTTTTTTTGTTTAGAACATTTCTTTATATTATTAACTGTTAAAATGAGAAACAACATAATTAATGAGTAATTGAATTTTTCTTTCATTTGCTCGCTCGAACAGAGAATTTATGATACCAAATAGAAACAAAACCCATGTATATTAATATTGTATGTGGTTGCTAGTCGCAGCTTTTATATTGCAATATCACTTGTAAATACCTAAGGTGTTTTATTAAATGGTAAAAACATCTAGATCATTAATAAAAAAAACTACGTAATTATAACTAATTTAAGACAATAAAAAGTGAAAGATATAGACTAAATAACACTTTTGTGTATGTTGTAACAGCAGCAGAGAAATTCATAATTTATGTATCATATCTTATAGTTAACAAATGTAACATTTAAATGAGTAAACATTAAATAAGCTATCCTTAAAAATAAAGTTATTAAACTTAATTACTAAAGGAATAACTTTGTAATAAATTGAATCTATAAATGCAATTTATAGGAACTGACTAGATACATAAGCATTATGGATATTTGTTACCCATTTTTTTATACAATAATAAAAACGTAAAACAAATAAAAGACGTAAATTTCGGTAATACAAACTGATTATTTATACATAAAAATAATGAAAAAACATACAGACGAATTAGGAATCTCCTATTTTTTGATATTCAGTTTCGTAGTATTAATAAAAACAACATCCAATATCGTTTAGTAGGTAAAATATTGCAATTTCTACAGTATCCATTTGGACGTTTTTTGTTATATCCAGATTTATACATGGATCAAAAATCACATTGTATTATATTTTGTTTGTTTAGAAAGATCTCTTTTCAAATAGTAATTAAAGTAAGCATTTTTCGATAGGTTTTATAAAACCAATTTAACTGATATTTGTACAAGCTAATAGGACGATATAATTTCCTTATTGCGGACGCTATATGAATATATCCTATAGATTGCACTGAATTTATCAAATCCTGAATATTCGAGCGTGAGATGGGGTAAAATGTCCAATAAGATCTGATCATGGTTAGACCACCTTACCCCGTCCTACATATGTATGCAGATTTCTGCGGATACTTTGATTAATAGAGTAATTTCTTTAATACTATATCTTCTACAACCTAAATGTCTGAAGCAGAAAATGACCTTTATCACCTACACTATAAGGCATAATTTATTCATTTCTACGACGAGAAGAAAGGCAAAATGTGAACTTCGACTAATTCTATCGATTAAACGATTTCTGGTTGGAATACGACAATTTCATTGACAACAGTGTCCATTGACTGCCAGCAACTTTGTGAGCACGTGAAGATGAGTACGGAGAGGAAATGTAAATGGGACAATGATATATCGTTGGGGGAAATTTTCAATGTATCGGCGAACTCTGGTACTAATTGTAATTCACAGATGAGTCGGGAACCACAGCGGTTGCATACATTTGGTACGCGCGGAGACTCCGGTATCGCGGAGTTGACTACTAAAGGAGCACCGAGAATTGGTGCCTCATCTCGTGTATATCTGGAAAAAATGTTTACAACACCATCTTGTACATAAACTCCGTTAGTTTTTTTTTTGCAGCCTGAATGGTATGCTCTAATGTAGTGTTAATTAAATTAATTGAAAATTCATATTTACACATACCACTGGTTGACAATTTATTAACTAAGTATTTACTTTGGAAAGTTTTAGATAACATAATGTTACAAACATTTATAATTATAGCCTTGTAAAGTTAAAAATGTTAGAACGTTGTTATAATTTCACTTTTTAATTGAATTTGAGTACACATACCTTAGTATTTGTCCAGGGTTATTCTTCAATCGTGTGACGAAAGCGTGAAAGAGTTTATCACCGTGCAGGGGAGCGGCTTCCTCGTACGTCTCCTCATCCCCCGACCCCGCCCCCGCCCCAGCCCCCGACACACTCTCCGCAACACCATCGATATCTAATTCTACAAAAAAAACAATATTCTTTTAAAATTATATTTCTATCCAGTGATTATCCACTGATGATGATCCACTTGGGAAAAATGACATTTAAAAACATTTAGATGAAGCATAGTGATTTTTTTGTCACCGGTACTTTCTCTGAAAGGTACTATATCAGTTGTCAAGTTTAGTGCCTCATCTAATGTCCTTGTAATAAATTTGCAAAATCATAATAAGCTTTGTTTGTCATAAAATTAAAACAGGGTCACAAAAAAAATATGACATGTGAAAACATCTCTAGTGAAATGTCAACTATGTCCATATATCTTTTAATCTGTTTGTTAATATAATTTAAAAACTTACCATTCTCATTTTTATATTTATTAAGCAGTTCAGTGACGCGATCATCATTAAAGCATGATTTCTTGTATTCCTCTTCCACGTAAATATACTTAGGGATGAACTGCATTGGTACTCGCGTCAGCTTGTTTCTTAATTCAACCGGTAGCTCTGCAGTCTGAAAATGAAAAGGAAATATCTTTTTAAAATACTTTTGTATGTCTATGAATTACAATTCAAGACAATATTATGAGAGAAAAATAAATGAGCATTGTTAGGGGTTACAGGGAGTGGCTGCCCTCCCCTCTAGAGATACAAAAGCTTTAAAGTAGATATAAAAACTTCTTAAAATTAAGCTGCATTGATGGTAGCTGACCCCCCCTTTAGACCCAGCTGATAACTAATAAAGCGTAAACACACGCTATTTTGTGGAGTAGGATGTCAGCAATTACAACATGTTTTTAAATTGTTTTCTCTTTAGTAAAAAGCCCTACACTTACGAAATGCTTTAGGCTATATGTTTTCCCACTATTCAACTTGGGGGTAAATATATTGGAAAAAACCTTTATGTGGGAAAGGGACCATAAACTACAAGCTGCCAACATCAAGGAATCAAGGTTGTCATTTATGTATTTCAATGTTGGCATTTGACAAATACAAACAATATAAAGTTATTATAATTTCATGTGGATGAAGCCGCACAGTAACAGCTAGTATGTAAAAAACATACCTGATGCAGCAGAGCTTCAATATCATTCATCGCGGCAGTAGGAGTCTCCACAATAACCAAGCCGGGCTCATCACCTCCTTCCAGCTCAGCTGCTGCCTCTGGGCCACAGTTGGAGCCCACCGCACCTGCACACACGGACAAAATAAATATTGACTTATCTAGTCAGTGTACAGTCAGGAACACAATGTATATATTTAGAAAACTTTAAAAACGTGTATACCTTTGGTTTCATAAATATGTATGCACTTATATATTAATGGCACAATTTAAGGATAGAAACATACAGATAAATAACATATTTTTGATTTCCAGGGTCTACACAAGTTTATTTAGCGTTGTAAATGTATACATATTTTTTCAACTGACTGTACCAACTAGTTTTAAACCAGTTGTGGATTCTTTATTAGACAAGTATCAAATACATTTGGAATACTCTTTCATTTATTAATTTAATGTTTGACTAAAGTTAACTATTCTGTAGAAAAATGCATAAAACATACCTTGTGGGGACATATTGGCATTATGAGCATCAAACACCTGTAGATTTCCCAATGCTTGCTCAACAGTTTCCAACTCAAAGGAATTACTCTCATCATCATCAGAGTTTCTGTAACATATAGTTAAAATACTATAATTCAACCAATCAGTTTCCTTATTTCAAAATTAATCTTATTTTGCGAAAAAAGGAATTATATGTAATGTAAATATATTATTTACATTGACTACCTACCTTTAAGATTACTTAGTCTCTAATTCTAATTAGAGAAGGAATATAGAGAAAAAGGTTGTGCAAGAGCCTGCATAAATTTCTCTAATAGGATTGTGCCTAAATATCCTCACTTACTTGGTAATTGTATTGAAAAACTCACCTCACACCATTAGCTGGTTCATTATCAACATTCATAACATTGCCATTAGTAGAATCACCATTGTCATTCTCATCCCATTCATCAGCTGCATTGCACCACGCGAGGTTGGCAGCACTTGGTGTTACTGTAATGCTTTCCTGCTTTGTTACACTTGATTCTTGGATCTGGCTCCGGACACATTCCCAACTGTAAATATAAATTACTATTTCATATGGATGAATAAGATGGAATATTTTACACATTTCTTAAAAAAATATATATTTGCAATTAGAATAAAGACTGCTAATAAACATGAATAGCGACAATAAATTGCAGTTAAATAAAAATATATGGCTATCAGTCAACATAAAATGAGAGTAAATTTAAAATAAGTAATTATGGAAACTAACCCTTCCGATAGGTTCCAGCAATTAGGACTAATACAGGCAAAAACATACAATGTTCTGTGGTAGACGGAATTTTCCAGCGGGGCATAGCATTGGACGATCAGCATTCGATGCAATCCACATAATGGACATTTCGATGAATATTTTAAGTTATCTAGAGGTGGCCAGTTCTAAAATAAAAGTATAGAATTTCATTAAACCTGTATACTGATTTACGGTGAAATGCCAACTAAAAGTTGATACTTACTGGGAAACCACCTATTTTGTTCACTTTGTAACTCAGAAGAACTTGGTTCTTCTCTCCAATGATTTCCTCTTCATATCCTAAATAGACCTTGCCTTGTCGTTTGGCCATGCTGCATTCACTTTCAGGACACAACACTGAACTTCAGGGATTTCAAAAGTTAATTTCGATACAATAGTATTTCCTTAGTTTTTCTTCTCTAGTTTCCACCTTTTTCATCAATATCAATATTGATGTTTTAATGACAGTGGCATTAGATTTGACATTTCAAATTCGCATGTTACATTCCTTTTCAACAAAAATTTAGTTTTATAACTCAAGTTCAAATATTGATTTCATTAAAATTGTACGACTTTTGTAAAGGTACATATTAAAAATCCATAATCTTCTTTGAAGAAGAATGCACGGTGAAATTTCAGTAGCTTTTTGATTGTGACCGATTCTAAGTTAAAAGACAACATTCACTTCGACTATTGGGATAAAGTGGGACCCTTTGTAGCGAAGTTGTAATGCTCATGGAACATGCTTTAATACAACATATTAATTTTTCGAATGCTAAACCATGCTAAAAAATATAACACCTATTATATAAAATAGATTCACAAATTGCCACTGACCTTCGACAGCTAAAGTTATCTAATTTATTTGTCTGCCCTTACTAATAAGGCTCTAAGTTTCATAATAAAGCAGATTTACAATACATTTGGTAAAACGTTATGAAAGTGGTTACTTATAAGAGCTTTGTTCATTTCAAATGATTCCTAAATAGTTTCATAACATAATAAAAAAAAATCTAAATCAGGATAGAGATTGAATCGTTTAAAATTTGGCTAAATGATAAAGAACCGGGTTTGTCAATTGTTACTAAAAAAAGCTTAGCAGAAGTAAAAAAAAACATAGTTAAATATGACATTAATTATTCATACAATGAAAACACGTTTAAACCGATGCAACTTTTGATAATCACATCAAAAAGCACAAAAATAAACGTGAAAAATTGTTCACTAAAACAAGGATTAAAATAGTGCTGCGTATTAGTCAGATAGCACATAAAACCAAATTTTAATTTAACAATCACGTGTTTCAATTATGAATACAAATATTATGTGAAAAGTAACACACATAGGTACATTGTATGTCGCCGGAATCATAGTAGCGACAAATGGGCAAAACTGTAGATTATAGTAGACAGGATATACGATATCCGGTCTTATATCTATACAGTTAATCTACTCTTACTACTACTGTGAACTAGATAAAAATTATGTAAATATTCAGAATAACTAGATATTCAAGTGTGACCCTATTGCCGACAAAGTAAAAAAAAAGGAACTCTTATATTAATTACTTTTTGTCAGCTTATCCGTTATGGTAATCCTTTTAATTGTTATGTTTAAAATATTGAACGTATCAATGTCTACTGCCGATGTGTGACCTAAACAAGAAACGTTTTTCAAAAGTTAATAACAAAAATTAATCTCTGCTTATCCCTTCGCGTCGCGGGCGTGAGTGCTATGACATGCGTTGATGACCGTAAAAACTTTAAAGGTTAATCTAATAACCTGTCAGAATACATCCTAAATTGTGTTCATTACCTTTTCAACGTTTACATGTTTTAGGTCAATTTCGTTATATTCCATAACAATACTCGATCTTTTCATATAAGGGGCTTTCATTGCTCAAGGATTTATCATTCGTCGCGCATTGTGCGTGGGAGATTCAAAGGATCGGTTACAATACATTTTGGTGTCTCAGTCAGAAAGCAGGTGAACAGCAAGCAACACATTTTTTTATTTCAAATTACACGCGCGAAAATGGTGCACTTGCGAGCGTTTTATTCTCAATTAATCAATATTATATTTGTAGGTATAAAATAAATGGCTTAAAAGAATATTTTATACATATTAACGATTTTAACTGTCTTCAGATTATTGCGTTATCGGTATGCACAGAAGGAATCACCGTGAGTCCATCATTATGTCCTACAAATAAAATAGCACCCCATAGACGGGTGCTGACTACAAAATACGGTACTCAGCGTACTTTTGGAGCTTTCTACGATTTATTGGTGCCAGATAATTTTCAACCAAACCGTCCCAGTTTACAAGAAGAACCTCTAAATGATCCAGAAGATTGCGGAGAAATAGACGATTATGATGAAAATGATGTTGGCTCAGGTACGAAAATTAATTTTCTATACGTATTCGTATTTTAAATAAACGTTTCGTTAACCAAAAACTATTTTATTAATTACAGCAACAACGGAATCTGGTAGGAGACATAGCAGCGATAATAGATTCTTCTTGGGGAACTTTTTTTCCTTTTTGCGACCACCGCCAGATGGCTATCCTCCAGTGTTATATCCTGGTAGACCTGGACGACCTACACGGCCACCTTATGGCTCTGGCGGCTACTTTAGTGGCAATCCGTACCGTCCTCAATCACCTATACGCCCATCAGGTTTGTAAATTATTTTTTTGAATAATGAACTATGGTTTGGTAACTGTGGTTAAACTTGTTACAATATGCGAATGGCTTTAATTTAGTAGTTGCTATTTAAATTCACAACATTGAAAGTTAATATGCTGTCATGTTAATTAAAATTAAGTATGTTTATTTTTAACAACTGCTAAAAATATAGTATTTACGTGTAATAAGTTCTTATGAAATACAGCGAGTGAACTAAGAGTAAAGCAACAACGATTTCTGCCTTAGTGAAAGTAATAAAGGTTTTATAACGGGATGCACTTTCTTTCAGATTACGTTAAACCTGTTCATGAAGATGCTCAAGAAACGACAGCGGCCTATCGACCCGGCTTGGTGGGAGCTCCACTCGGACATGTGGTAGGGGTCACGCAAGTCAGGCCAACCAACAGACCACCAGAAACAACATCCAAATTTAACTCCAAATATATCAATAACATACAATTCTCGACGCTCCCTGAAAGAAATTCTAACAGACGTCCTCGCGATAGAATAATACATGATACTAACAGTAGTAATGGTATATTCGGCTCATTTCTAGATTTATTCTTTTAATAAAAAAATATTCATTTACAAATTGTTTTATTGACAAATACGTGTAGTATCGGAGAAATGTAATAACCAGTTTGTTTTTACGTTTGTGATTGTAATACAGTTGCTGTAATCATTATCATTGGAAATTGCGTTTTAGTGTACCATGTCGACAACTGGGCGTAATTGCAATGTGGTAAAGATTAGTTAATAGGATATCCCACCTACGTATCTCCGATGGTTAGCGAGCGCGTGACAGACACCATTTAGCTGTTGTTTAAGCCGTGTGTTCGTACATTATTTTGATAGTTAATTTTCCTCAATTAATTCGTTTAGTGTTACGATGGTATCGCGCGATGTCATTGAATATTTTGATGAGCTTTATTTTGTTAAATGTATCCGAGTGTTTCGGTTGTACACACGGTTGTCTAGTTCACCGCAGTTTCGTTGTGAATAAAATGTTCGTGACCTTTCTAGGCTTATTGATGTTGTCGTGTTTGGCGGGACATTTAAGATGTGAAGGTATGTTTAAAGTGAGCTTACTTGTGTGTGAGTTAAATCGTAATTTGTTTCGTATTGGAACCAAAAAAATGCAAAACAGCTTGGCTGTAAGGGTCAATACGGGTCAGATAGTATTTTATATAGTTTTTTACGACAAACGAAATCAAAACTATGCGACGGACAGCATTGTTTTGATTAAACATTTGGGATCTAATAAACTATAATATTACAGAACACAACCCTTATATGAATACTTTAAAAGAATTCAATTGGAAGAGTGTACAAAAATACGTCGAAGTTCGACCAGGCGCGTTTTTATTCTACTGGTTATATTACGCGGATGGTACATCTGTTGAAGCTGATAAAAAGCCGCTCATCATATGGATACAAGGAGGGCCGGGTCTAGCCGCTAGTGGGATAGCAAATTTTGCTGAAATTGGACCTCTGGATATGAACATGCAACCGCGAAATCATACATGGGTAAGTTTTGAGTCGTTATGACAGAAAATTAATTTATGTTTTGAACATATTAACCTGCCTGCATTCGCGGCGAATTTGAAGTAAGGTATGGAAGCAACAATAGGGCATTGTACTGTCACACGTCTTACTTTGTTTCGCTGGTTTCATCATTTTATGAAGACTTATAATTACTTAATTTATTAGCCAATTTATGAGTCAATGACGAGGCTCGGACAATTTATTGTTTTCAATTTTTATTCGCTAACTTGTGTACTAATCGCCTAATTAAAAAAATAAGTATATGGTTTGCGATTATTTGAGAATGTTTTTTCATTTTAGGTGAAAGGAAGGAATTTACTGTTAATTGATCATCCAGTAGGCACAGGCTTTAGTTACGTGACGAACAAATCTTTGTTAGTAAAAACTGACAGACAAATGGGTAAGTAAATAATTGTGTTAGTTTCTAAAGTAAAGTTATAATACGAAGAATTTTTATATTTAACACAATACCGACAAAACCTATGTAGCAATTGAGATAAATAAAAGCGGTTTTACTAATTTAAATTTTTACCTCTGTAGTCAATTATAACGTTGCAATATTACATGCCGGTTTAATAATCACAATTATTGCATTACAATTAAAGATTTTATGGTCAAGCCAGACTATAGGACTGGTTTTTAAGATGTAAGATAAAAATAAAGAGTAATCAAAATTTATAATCTTCGCTGCGGACACGGTTTTAAATGTTATATATTTCCCCGTATCATCGGTTTCATCGACCGTGATAAATGCATTGTATGCAACTTGAACTTTCGTCCGTTGCATTGTATTGTTATGTAAATTTAATTTTTATACATTTTTTCTCAGCGTTAGACCTTACGAAAGTTATAAAGGCGTTCTTTAAAACGCATAAGCAATTTCGTAAAACACCCACATATGTGTTCGGTCAGAGCTACGGGGGCAAACTGTGTCCGAGATTGGGCGTTTATTTGCATACGGTACTGAGAGATGGTTTTATTCTGCATGCATTGCTTCTTGCATGCAATTTCAATGCTTGTTGAGATTTTTATAGACGCTTGTATTTGCAGTCGATTGAAAAGAAACGTCTCAAGATGAATTTTCGAGGTATGGGAATTGGCAGCGGTTGGGTAGATCCGAAGGAGAGTACGTTAGTGCAACCAAATTTCCTCTATAATATGGTTTGATATACATTTATTTATTTACATTATTAAAGAGTTGTGTTCTGGATATATCCGCGCCTAAACATTGTATAACACTATCAATAAAATTGCAGAATAAAGGATCAAGACGTGAAATATTATTAATTTTCTCTTATTTTTAGGGAGTGATCGATATCACGACGTACGAAAAGACGAGAAATTTAGTAAAGAAAATGATTAATTACATTGATAAAAAAGATTACGTGTACACTGAGAAATTGAATACATTGATGTTTCGTATATTAAACATGGAGGCTGGTATGGAGATAAACTTCAATAACGTTAACCAAGCCAGTCCATATCCTGCGTTAGATGAACTGGCTAGAAAAGTTAATGAATACGTCAAACCCACGCTTACGATCGTCAATCAGAGTTTGCAATGGAACTACATGTCGGATGAGGCTTTTTATACGTTAAATAACGCGTTCTTCGTACCATCAGCTTCTTTCTGTAAGTGCAAAATTATATTTAAATATAGAGCTCTTAACCCTTGATTTGTTAGTGTCCAGAGTAACCAACAACTAATTAAAAAATACTGAACTAGTTAAGAGAAAAATACGTGAGATTTTGATTTTATTCTGTTGGTAACTTGTATTTTTTGCTACAAAAATTCCGTCGAATTAAAACTTAAGTTCAGTCGTCTACAAATCGTATATTGTCGGATGTACTCGTAAATAAAGCAATCAAAGGATTGAGCATTTACTAAAAAAACGATATTTTTGCAGTAGAAAAATTGCTGAACAAGACATCATTGAAGATAGCTGTCTATAATGGCAACTTAGATGTTGTGACTCCACTTGCGGGTAAGTTTTCAAATAAACTTTAATAAATTATCATAGAAATATCTAGAATAAATTATGTTTTACGTGTAATAGGAGCGTCCAATTGGGTGCACAAGTTAAGATGGCACGGTGCTGAAGAATTCAGGAATGCTGAACGAGTACGCATAAACGGTTATAGAAATGGATTTTACAAAAAAGCATACAGATTGAGTTTCTGGTCCGTTTTCGGATCTGGACATTGGGTAAATAAGTATACATTTTATATTAATTATTCTTGTATTTAATTTAAATTAAAATCTTTTATCATATTAGTGGACATTCAATGCTAATTGTTGAAATAACGATGGGGCCCTCTATTTTTTAAAAGAGAGAGAAGCAACGATAGAGAGACAGAGAGAGATACTAATTGTTGTTTTATGATCACTGGTTAAGTTTTGATTCCCACTATTCATACAAATAAGTCCATTTTCAGGTCCCTGAAGAAAACCCTGTTGCGATGGAACAAATATTAAACTACGTCATGTCTGAAGAAATATAATATTGTTTCGTTTTATTTATAAATAAATTATTAAATTATAAAAGTAATTAAATAAGTTAATAAAAACAAAAAATCCATGTTAATCGTATATAATTTCCATAATTCATCACTATACATTTATTTACACATATTAAATTGATTATAAATGAACACTATATAACAATAAAAACACGCTTTTTCGTTGTAACCATGTCAAGATAAACAATAATAATCCAAAAATTATAAATTCGTTTATCAATTAGTCTTATATTCATTTAGTAAAACATTAAATATGTCAATAAAATATACAACATAGAAATAAAGTTATTTATAAATGTTTAAATTGATTTACAAATTACAATGAAATATTTATTTAATATCTGAAACATAATTCCAATAAGCATTATTTCTAGTCTCTGAATATAGAATTAAATCAAAGCGCATTTTTGTAGGCAAAAGACATCTTTCTCTGTCTTACCTACTGAAACATTATACGGTTGTCTCTTTCGTAAGATATCACTGGCAACTATGAAGTAACCCATTTTTTTTTTATAAAAAACGTACCAAAGATATAATATGGGTAAGTGATTGCTATCCTCTACTATCGGAGACAATAACAAATATTTACCAGACTTGGGCCTGTCCCACCAAATTGTAAATTGTCTGATAACAATCCAACGTGAAAAACATGCGATGGAAAAATCTGACAGTGACTTCATTTTTAAGCTATCTGAGCCTCTATCAGCTAGTGGAGAAACAGGCCCTAAATTTTAACAACATTTGAACACATCGACATCACTCTGATTTTTGTAAACTATATACTATTACTACATTTGAATACTCATGTGTATTTTTTTAACTATGGTTTTCTACTAAAGTTCCACATTTTAACAATAATTTTGTACAAACTATTGAAAATATAACGGTTAACAAAAGGCAAGAATTGAATAAGTAAACTAGTACTTAATAGGACGTTCTTTTTTGTAAGTGTAAAGAACAAAGAAGTAGAAGCGAAGAGAAGTAAAAAGGAAGCAAGATATACAAAGAGATACAAAATATTTTAATTTTTTTAACAAATCAATAATTTACATTATAAAAATTAAAACAAAAATGATAATTGATCCCTTACTAATGTCAATATTGAATTAATAAAATTTCTTTAGATAAAATGCATTTTTAATAACAGTGGCAGTTAAGTCGCTGTAAATTAAATTTCAATTTAATCACACTAAATAAAATATGATTGATATATGAAATATACGATACGACTAGCGAACCATAATTTAGTGGTTATAGTAAATTAGGGGCTAAATAACAATTCTGCTAAGCGATTAGCAGCTTTAAAGCTTAAACATTTAGTTACAAATTCCTTTAACACGCACCGTTGACGGCAATCTACAATTTGCATTTCTTCAGCATACAAATACAAGAGCCTCTAGGACTTAATTGTGTTCCAAAATGGAATTATTTCAAGACTACGTAAGTCTGACTTCATTGAAACATGTGTCACAAACTCTGACAGGTTTAGTGTTGCCAGGTAACGCGACAGTTTTGTCGCTACACGCCGCGCAGAATATATGGCCACACCGTCTACAATGATGCTGGAAGGAAAAGTTGTTTTAGCATTTTTTTCTGTACTTATTAATAGTACAAAAAAAAAATACTAACCTCGAATTTTAAAAACAGTTCATACAGTGGTTTATTCATTATATTTTGCCTAAATAAGGGTGATTATTTTGACAATTTAGTAGGGAATCTTTTCGATTTTCCTCACATATAAGTTGGAATCGGTAGATTATAGTTATTAATATAAATAATATTACTTATGGATTAAAAAATAGAAAACATTATTTTATTTATTCGGTTATTCAAAGACAAATCAATAAAAAAAATAGAACATATAGAAAAAATATACAACAAATATAAAACAAAGAACAAAATCAAACTAATGAACCTTATTTAGACATACTATACTGTAAAATTATGGTAAACATTTTCAGTTTTCAGTACTCTTTGAACAGCAGAAGACATTAAACTACAATAAACTAGTCTATATCTATCCAAATTTCATCGAAATCTGTTCAGCCGTTTTTCCTACTAACAGTAACAAACATCCATCCATCAAAACTTTCGCATTTATAATATTAGTATGATTAGTCTACGTATTACGTCTTACCTTTCTCCTTGCAATATTAAATTCTTTAGTACAAGCTGCGCATGCCACCGCGTCTTTATCACTTGTCCAGTTCGGTGTGTCTTCAGTAGTAGAGTGAGCTTCTTTTTCCAAAAGCTCAGCTAATTGGAGCTTATTCTCACTTAAAGTAGCGCCTACCTCTTCCAAAGTCTTCTGAGCTTCGATATATTGTGCTTTAAGTGTATGCTGTTCTTCTTGTAATGCGATATATTTCTAAATAGACCGAAAAACTAATGATGAATCTATTTCGATTTTTTACCAGGCGATATAAGGATGTATATTTACTTACTTTTCCTATAGATTTTAGCGATTCCACTTCTTGTGTTAATATTGATATTTTGTCTCTATCACGCATCATAGAATCCTGTGAAACCACAATATACTTCTATGTAAACTATTGACGTAATAAATATTTTGTTGTACATAGATTGGTATTGTTTCTTTTATCGGTTAATAGTTTCTATATCACGTTATTATTTGTCTATGAAAAGTACGTTTTAGTTTTGTTAGGCTTAGGGCCTGTCCCACTACTGGCTGATAGAGGCTCAGATAGCTTAAATGACGTGACTGTCAGATAAAGGAACAAAATCGGATATTTCCATCACATATTTCACACGTTCGATTGTTATCAGACAATTTACAATTTGGTGGGACAGGCCCTTAATGTAGTAAAATTCTATTTCCCTTTTTTTAATTTCGCAATTAGTGTCATCACCGTAAGCAAGGACATTAATTCCCGCTCATTAAACTGTATGGAACACGTGAATTTAATTAAAACGAGTAGGTCAACTTAATTTGTATAATAATCAGACTGAAAGTGTAATTAACAAATTACAGAAACAATAATAGAATCAAGTGTTGACATTTTTTTAAAAAACCTAAAACGCGACTTCGTTCTTGCGATATTAAAAAAAAAACTTAACTAGTGGCCTACGTGATATTCCAGACTGTGCTCTACATATGTCAAATTTCATAGAGATCCGTTAAGTTGTTTAGGCTACAAACATCCATTCATCCATCCAAATTTTGGCATTTACAATATTAAAACGATTTTGGCTTTTAATTTTTTTTTCAGAGGTGTCTTTTAGAATATAACTTCACTCATAACAGTACAGATCTTAATGTTAATAATATCTATGGTTTCTTCATATAAGAAAAAAATCTTTGTTTTGTAAGCATTTCGTACATTAACTTCCTTATAACTTGATATTATGAAACATCTTTTAGATATTGCTTTAGCAGCAAATGAACTTAGTTCGTTCTGTTTTTACCATATTGTAGTCATAGAATACCTGTAGAGATATTCTCCATTCCTTCTCAATCTTCAAGTCTCCTTCTGCGGCGACCGCTCTAGTCTCAGCTGCGGCCGCCTTCTGTCCTAATGACCTCGCGCTCTCTTCTAGATTCTTCTTTGTTAACTTATCCTCTTGTAACCTATACGACAACCGAATACTACATTGCCTTTTTTTGTGTTGCCTTTTTTTAACAGTAGGTGGTAATATATTTGACATTATTTTTTTTTATTTTAAAAGAATAATGTATTAAGAAGTTCTTGTAAAAGGAAGTAAAGTTTTCTTCGTTGTTTCATTATTTGTAAATATACATGTGTATGTTTTTTTAATAAAAATCTAAAAGGTATGTTTAGATTTATAGTAAACTAAAAGGATATGGGATTTAACAACCAATAAAATTAATAAAAACGTTGTAAAATAAAGTGTAGAATAAATATCTCCAAAAGGAATATAGTTTTCTGACGAGATAAATAATAATATTAATAAATGCAACATAAATAATTATTATAATTTTGAATAAATATACAAGGAATAATTTAATTGGTTTGATTAATTTTGTACAGCATGCAAACTCAATATATCGATAATGGCAAACCTACACAATAAACATAAAATCAAAATAAAGCTTGTTTCGGTTTCGTATTCAATAAAATACATTTTCTAGAATGAATATACTTTATTACAAATAAGGCTTTTACATCACTAGGGCCTCCGGAGTTACAATGTTTTTAATAAATAAATCTAAAGTTTCTTAGGTACATTTCATTCTAAATGGTATAAGCGATTTTTTTTTTAATATGACTTATTCGGATTCATATATTTTTTTATTATATTTAGAATAAATGAGATCGAATAGTATAAGGGCTATATGAATTATACATATTATTTTGAATTAGAATCACAAAATTAATACTATTAAAGTCATTGAGAATTATGAAAATTTTCCCATAAACTTATAAATATACTTTAAACATCACAATACAAATTTGTATAACGAAATGAAATACAAAAAAAAAACATTGAATATCGAAAATAAACATCTATTTGCACTCGTTAGGTACTAAACTATATAATGTTTCAATCACGATTTTTAATCTTAAATTAGTTTAAAAATAACAAATGTAAAAAATGAAGACATCATCTGTACCTAAATTACGTAATAGCAAAAGCTAAAGCGAATAGCATTGCCATCGAAGTTTTATTGACGTTTGTATGACTTTATTAAAATATATATTTTTTTTAATCACAAAATCCGCGGTTTACCGTGATGGTTTGCCAATATCAATACAAGAGTCGTCCCCGACGCGACGCTCGCCGCGTGTCTCGATACATTGATATGTGAAGCGGTAATACAATCGACATGTCACATCACTAGTGGCAGCCGATTACGAAACGATAATCGAATTTATCGATTTCTAAAAATATCAAAATGCAACGTTTAAAAATTTAAATCTATTCGTATTCTATCAGTACTCTACTTTAAAATATAATTCGAATGAGAAATTAGCAATCTTGCTTTTAAAACTTCATTAGACTAGCAGCTGTCAAAGAATAACTGTTTCAAGAAATGCCAAAGACTTTCATGTCAACTTTACCAATTATTCTTATGCTTTCTAATTTCGTTTTTCTTTTATTTTTACCAAAATCAGATTAAAAAAATTAATATCGATTATAATATTCGTAATCGGCCACATTCAGTTCCCACAGTGTGTGTCGGAGATACATTCCTCAGCTGGGCGGCGCGAGGCGTGTCATATAAAATAAAAAATAAACCTACTTCTCATCGAGCTGATGTATCGTGCTGCCCATTGACTCAGTCTTTGCTTCCAATTTGGCAATTAGCTCTGTTTTATGTTTCAAGGAACTTTCACATTCCTAAAACAAAGCCAGTAAACTTTAGCTAAATTAATATGTTACTATCGTAATATTGAAATTGTTAGCAAGCATTATAAATATGCGTGTCTAAAACTATGTTAGTCTGTGGTAATTCCATTTTGAGGTTATATCGGATGCATTGGTATCGAGTAATGTAAATATAATTCTAATCAAACCGTATAGCTAATTTGTAAGATAATTGTGTAACGAGCCTTAATAAGTTGCATAAGTGATTTTCTAATAGGAAACACCACCTTAGTTGGGGCTTTGTTTGCAATTGGATTTAGGAATGAAATTTTTAGTTAAGCATTAAAACTTCAATCTATTCGAGTTTATTTCTTATCGACGCTGTTATTTTTTCTGAAAGGTGGTATTTCCTGTAGGTTCAACTTTTTGCTAGGTGGACCTTCGTCCTTTTTAGTGCGCATATCTCTTTCACCCGCATTGGTCTCGCTAGAGGGAGACCGCAACGCTTTGACCAATTCGTGGTCCGGTCCTAGAAAGTGGTTATATTTTTCAAGGTTGTGAAGTATTTTGCCAATCTGTTCAGCCTTCCCTTGTAGCCTGGAGACCATCTCACCCTTCTGCGTTAGTTCCATTTCACATTCCTTCCGTATGAAAAGCGCGGCATTGATGAATACAGCATTGCATTAGTACCATATACAATAAATATATACATAAAAAATAGTATACTAATATGGCTGAATATAATTACACATAACACATAAATATATACATTTATATGCATATATAGAACTGAAGGTTTGTTTTTTCGAAATTGTAGCATGACGACATATTATTGAGGATAAGACCCTTTGAATTTTTTGCCTATTTTTCGTAGTTTGATCTTTATTTTAACTTAAAATTTAGATTACAAGCAATTTTCTAGAAACTAAAGCAAAAATTTATATTAAAAAATATTTTCATGCTGCAATTTCTAAATAATATAATAAAGCAAGCACACAAAGCTAAATGTATGAGTCGAGTTTACAAGCACAAGCTAAATTAATGAATCCGCAAGATGAACAGATTGTCGTAACGCGATCGCCCACGTTAAGTGAATGACCTTTAAATCTAACCTCAGAATGCAACCCAAAACATGCTTTATATCAAAAATGAATAAAAACTTATTATTACCGCAAAAAAAGATGCAAACGAAAAATCACGCAATCTATAGTAATTTCTACCACATTGAGGTGTCTTTGTTAACGTCACCTTGTATTGAGGTCAACTAGTATTTCCTGTCGCAAGCGGACCGTCACGAACAATTGTCAAACAGTACCTCAATATCTATATAAAAAAGTTCTCACCTGCAACTTCTTGTACATCTCCAAATTGATCAACTTTATATCATCGAGTTGCCTTCGTAAAGATATAATGGTGTCTTGTTTGTCATGGATGTCTTTCTCTAGCAATTTCATTGCAACTTCCATCTCCGCTTTTAACGATATCTGGAATATTTTAGTGGCGGAATTTTATTAAATCAGCATATAGTCATATTAATATTAAAAATGCGAAAATTTAGATGGATGGTTGTTTGTTAGAGTTTGAGTCTAAACGGCTGAACGGATCTCGATGAAATATGGCATAGTTGTAGAGAAGAGAATGGGAGAACTCATAGGCTACTTCCTTTTGTTTTTTTTTTTAATTCCACGCAAACAAAATGGCGGGTGGAAGCTAGTGTATTGTAAATATAAAGTTTAGATGGATTTGATATATGGATGGATGGATGTTAAAGTTTTCCGCTTAAACGGCTAATAAATTTCGATGAAATTTAGCACACATGTAGAGCATAGTTTGCAAAAACACATAAGCTACTTACTTTTTTAATTCTACGCAGACGGATTCACAGTCGAAAGCTAGAATAAAATAAAATAGCAAATATTAAAAAAAAAACATTACCTGCAAATCCAATTCCTTTTGCAGTTCCATATTCTTCTTTCTTTCCTCTTCCAACATCTTTCCCATTTCGGAATCCTTTTCATTCTTAGATTTATCCGACGAGGAGCTCTTCACGCTATGTTTCTCCTGGAAATAATAAAAAATTCATGTGAATTCCCTGAATTTTTAGGTCAACACTTACCTCTTTCAGATAAGTATTGTGTGAACGCAATCTCACTATTATGTATTTATTTCCTGTCAAATTCGCCAGAATATCGTTATCTGATATTTCTAAGTAGCGAATAAACAATAACAGATGGACAGGTGCTTTTATGTAGTCATCAACGATAAAGAATACGATGACGTAATAAAATATGCAAGACTATATTAATTGTACGTACAACTATCCTCGATTATGGTCAAACGACCGCCGCAATGACTAATATAATAAAGAAAATATGGAATTGTATAACCTTCACAATAAACAAAACTGATGAGTTTGTTTAAACAAGCTAATCTCAAGTATCGTTAATCAAATTTAAGGAATGTTTGTCATTAAAAATCATGCCACTATCGTTAGGAGCCGAGTAGAGACAAAAGAATTGCATAAGTTTAGCTGCGGGTTTTGCAATTTCTTTGAACTTTAGCTTTTTTTTAAGTTTTTATAAAATAAAACATATTTTATCATAGCTTGGAAAGTATAACGTTTATGTGTTTATTTTTCTAGTGACCTATTAAGATCCATACATTCCTTACGTCTTATCTCATCGAATCGGATTAGATAATTTTCATTTCGCAGTCGATATTAATAATAATTTAACAACAATTTTACTCAGTTTTTTTAGTTTAATCTATAACGGAAGCCACTTTTTAAACGCGGTTACGTTAGTAGCTATCATTTGTTCTAATATAACCAATTCTTCTCTCTGAATCCGATTCAATGAATACAAACCGTGGCCTTTCAAACGCAACGAAATAAAAGTTTTATGTTGGTCAGGGTTGATGTCAATAATCCATGAAGATTTCATCAGTTTCAACGATTTTATAACGATAATAGTTTATTAATTTTTATTGGCAGTTAAAAGTTTATTTATTTGTTTAGGGAATTTTAAATTGGGTGTTTAGATCTCGTATTATCAAACATTGAGTCATGATAGATTTATCCCATGGTATTACTGCATTTTAAATTTTCGAATGTTATTGCTCATGCGCATGAAACGTAAACATTATGCAATGAACTTGTGGTTTATGATAGAAGCTTGTCTGCATGAATAGAAATAGATTAATAAAAGAGCATCTTTAATTGCTTTTTTATACTTTAGCTTCCCTAAATGTTTTAGCCAGATAACAAACATCGTCTAGGTATAATTTTGTAATGCTGTTTGCATTAGTAACATAGGTATGTACCGAGATATGTTACTTCTGTTGTATAAACCGTTATAATTAGTTAGAATTTAGTCAAGTCTTTCGCTACGTTACCATATACAGACTTCCGTTTTACACATAAAAATATTGCAGCTATCTTCATAAAGTCGTCAGTCTGTCCGTTATAAACATCCTATATAGTTGTCCCAAGCGAAGTCGGTGTACATGTATAGTATTGATATCGTGTAAGGACTTGTTTTAGTGCGGGTTTGTTTATTGAAATAGCCACAATAACAACTTTGTTTGAATAACAATGAAATGGTTGTATGACTGCATTTATTCATCCAATTGATATTTAAGAGAATTCAGTTTTTAATATTGTTAATCGTGATTTATTTAAGACTAATAGAAGTTTTTCCTAATGTTAAAGTGTATTATTATTACCGTATTTTTAATTTGTAATAAGAAATTCAAATATGCTCATTAAATTTCAAATTGTAATCAAAATAAAAATAAATCATTCAGAATATATTACAAACAATTGACACAAAACTAATAAAGGCAAATAAATCTTACCTCCTCTTCAGAAAGCACTTCTGTTATTTTCATCCTACTGTCTTTGGTTATATCCTGACCTGTACAAAAAAAACAACATAAGCACGTGTTCAGACGTAAATAAACACTGGCACCGGTATAAGAACTCACTTTTCGCCCAAAATTGTGTTTTATTTTGACTCTTTACAGTCGAATTGCCCATTTGTACGAAGTAATAGCAATATAGCATAACTGTGAACGCGGTAAAATATTGTATTGTATACGTGTGCTCAGAGCCGCATACTAATGTATACTAAGCGATACAAAAGTGAGTCACCGCCTCACCGTATTGCAAGCTGTCTTATCTAATGCCCACTCTATTATTACACGACGTGAGATTTTCACCGACAAATCTATCGAGGGCTTGGAAATTGTAAGGCTCCGTTTACAAGTCTATAGTTTTTACGATGTGTGAAAATTGATTTTGTTTTTTTCTTCTTTTTTAATTTCATGACCCAAATAGCGTCAACTGAATTGGTATTAATCATAAAACAAGATTCAAAAAAGAATTGTGTAGTATTTGATTCTGATTAAACGTAAAAAACTGTAAGAATTTAATTTTATGTAGATTTCTCTATTTATTACGTAATGTGTAGTATTTATTTTCTTTATTTTAGTATTTGTGTATAATATATACTTACCCAAAGCATGTTTCAGCTGATTATTTTCCTCTACAAGTGTAATCATTGTATTTTTAGCAATAGCAAGATCTTCCTTCATGAGAGCATTGGTGGTTGTAAGAGATTCTACTTTGGCTTGTAAATTAGCCACAGTGGCACTGCAACAAAAATCTTGTTGGTAATATATGAGATAGCTAATTTTTATTACATTACCTACCTACTATTTTAAATTGTAATTTAAAGTCTCTAGTGCAATGAACTTGCTGCTAGCACAACCCGTTAAATAATAAAACAGTTTCAACGAGAGTCGCACGGCAACCATTGTTTAAAATCCACCCGTGAGATATTTCTTTAAAAACAACTTTCCAGCATCCGAGTTTGGTTTTCTATCATTTTCTAACGATTATTCTTCGGTACAGATTGTACGAGGCTTCGAGTAGGTAAGTACTATATCTTTTATTATACCCCTCGTTAACAAAATTATACCGCCGGTGCATGCGTAGTTCAAGGGTAGGCTATACCCCGGGATCGAACACGTCTTTACGGCACAATTGTAAACATTTACATTTTTGCGAAATAACCCACAAACAGTGAAACTATTTATACCATTTTGTAAAATGAATTTAAAATGCTATAAATTAATTACAAATACAGCCTTAATTTGATAAAGATCGTGATTTTATTTACATTATCTGAACACAATATAACAGAGTTATTTAACCTTATCGAGGTTCTCAGACATTCTTGAGGTAGGCTTCTATTGTCGAACACTTGACAAATACAACTGGAATTTCACGGTTAAGACGGAATACGTATCTTTTTACACTTTTACATATGTAAAACTTACTTGAGATGTCTATTAAGTTCTTCAATGTAGTTTTTCTGGTCCAACATTGTGTTAATATGGCGTTGCTTCGGCTCTGTGTTAGCGTTGTTTCCATTGCCGGCTATGTCGTTGGAGGAGTTGCTGCCGCGCAAGTACAGCGAGAAATCGATCACACCTTGCTGACTGTCTAAATCTTCTTCCTGTTATACATTAAAAATACTTATAGTATAAATGCAAAAGTTTAAATGAATGGATGGAAGTTTATTAAAGTGTGTAGCCTAAGCAACTGAAGGATCTCGGAAATTTGGCACAGATGTAGAGTCCTTAATCTGGAAGAGTCACATAATCTGGAAGAACACCTAGGCTACATACTTTTTTTAATTCCACGCGGACGCAATCGCGGGCGAAAGCTAATTTAAATATAAAACAAGTTAACATTTATGTAGTCTTTGTAATAATATTAATTAATTTTTAACGATGATTAGTTAATTATTGACGAGATATCGCTAAAATGGCTTATCAAAGGTTTAATTTAACTTAATTCTACATTTTATTAGTATAAAAGGAATTAATAAAATTTAATAGAATAAATGTATAGTCTATGCATGAATGTAGGTATATATTTTTTATTTTCCTATATAATGAATAAACTCAAAAACTACTGTACATATTTCAATCTAAGGAAATATATAGGTGAAAAAGGTTTTGTTTGATACATAGGTAAAACTAAGTTGAAACGTAGCAGTCATGGCTTTTTACAAGGTTCATAATGATATCAGACTAAATGTCGTAGCATTTCGATAAATGTCATTAACCTTATAATTATTTTCGGTACGATAATGATGTTCGTGTATTCTATTATTATTGTATTTCATGTATATATCAGTTTTTAATCTTTAATCTTTCAAATAAAATCATACTAAAATCAATATCGTATAACACAATTAAATATATAAGAGACACCCAAACTGTTGTATTTTACTATTAATTTAATTAAGCGTTAGAATTATAACACGATATATTTATATTTAGTAGTATACATGTTTACGGTCGAAATTTTAACTATAAAAGTAGTAAAATATGATATTGTTATTAATATTTTTACCTTTGTATTTAATTATAAATAAATAAATGAAGGTAAAACTATTAAAATACAAAACATACCTTAACACAGAGATTACAGTCGACAACGTTAAGTCCAACAAGCAAGCCAGTGATGATAACTGCCTCCTCATTCAACATCAATGCATGAGGTTCAAAGTATTCCTCTAAAGTCTCTTCACGACGTTCCAGTAAAATCCTTAGATAATCAGCAAGACGCTTCTGCATTAAAGCCAGACGTAACCAAGCACGGGCGCGACCCATTGCAGTCCTAAAAGAAAGCTGGTTTTGTTACTAAGTCCCCTTTAAACATTTTCAAATACAAAACATATACTTACTTAACAGTTGGCAGGTCTCTTACACTGGCTGTAATATCGGCCGCCTCCGGAGAATACTTCTCCACCATTTGAAGTATATCCCACAGCTCTTTCTTTGGTCCAAGAAGCCCCTGAAAATGTAAACATAGAATTAGTAATTTTTTTTTTACTATTTTAATTGTAAACTACGGAAATTTTACTATAGTCCACAACACGACATATTTGTGTTTACCATTTCCTACAAATTACGTTTACGTTGGCTTTGTTACATTAAATTTTTACGAGTATTTAACACGACATCTAACATCTAGGTTCAAGGTAGTTTTTAGTGTTAAGGGATACATTTACGTTACCTTTTTCGGTTTAAGTCCATGACGCATAACATGTTCGAGGACGATGAAAAAGTGATGCAAGGGAAGATGGTCGCTGTCGAGCATACGGCCATAGCGAAGCGATTGCTCGATCAATTCTTTCACTATCAATTTGGAGATGTTCACGAGGTTGCTACGTTCTATCACCACTGGATCACGAGCTATAAATAAAATATATATATCAGTCAATCACATATACATTTATTACTAACTCATGTTATGTATTCGAAGAACATTTTAAATGATTACGCAAACCACTAAACTACTTCTATTGAAGATAAAACCTACAGAAAACTATGGAAAACCTATTTTCTAAATGGTAAAGATAATTCTCTATTACGTAAATCGTGTGTCGTAAAATATTAATGAACATCCGCATGCATTCTTATCATAATAATAAAAAAAACTCTACCACGAGCACAAACGTGGTACAATACTAGTCCATTTAAATTACCCATCAAAGAATGCATCGGATCGTCCGGTGAAGTGATCGCACCATTTTCGTTTGGACGAGTGAAGGAATCCTGCATCTCAATGTCGTGTAACTCCTTCAGGCAAAGCCACTCTCCGTCGACGGAGACGCGGAAATTGCACAAGTAGATCGTATCTTGGGCACCGGCCATTTCTACGTCGGCCCCGCTGTTGCGCCTTATTTCAGACGGAACTTCCAAATCGGGCAAGGGTGCTACCCCGTTCGCGGCAGTGAGTGAACGCATAATAATATAGCAAATAAACGATTAAGCAAAACAGTAAACGCAATAAACTCAATCGTAATCACTCTGTTATGAACATTTTAAAACGTTCAAACACCACAAAAACTGCCTTTTCACCCGAACACTACTAAAGGCTCTATTCCAAATGACAAAGAACGAAATCCACTTGTTATTTAGTTACAACAATGAAGTTTTGCAGAGTACAGTCACCGTAATGGTTTTTCCAGTACGTTCAGTAAGAATATTGATTTTTCCTACGTCGCGCTAGAAGCTTCGTATGTGCGAGGGTAAATCAATACTTCCTAACCAGTGTTGCCATTTAGCGTAAGCTTTAGGCGATGGTAAAATGGTAGTTTTTTTTTAAAATATTCGTTATGTTTGAATTAGAAATCGTGTACCTATACTTTTATATAAGTTACTAGCTTTCGCCCGCGACTCCGTCCGCGTGGTATAAACAAAACCAAGTACCCTATGTGTTCTTCCAGACTATCCACTACATCTATGCCAAATTTTATTGAGATCCGTTTAGCATTTTTGGCTACAAACTTTAACAAACATCCATCCATCCATCCATCCATTCATCTAAACTTTCACATTTATAATATTAGTATGATTGTATGTCCAGTTTTAGATATGTTTATTGCACGATGTACCGAGCGTGACAGTGCTCGTAATCTGAATTTTCATAAATCTTAGCAAAAAAAAGAATTATGTTTCTCTTATGTAACTGTCTCTTGTGCCAGGATAGCTCAATAGGTTTTTTATCCTAGATGCGGGGGAAATATTGCTCGATTTAAGACATAATCTTGATTTATTCATGTGAAGGTCGGCATTTGAAGATATATTTTACAAAGAGGTAACAGTGTCTATTGTTGCCTATGGTATGTTATTTAAAAAAAAATCAATTGGATCATTTGAAAGCACATGAAAACCCATGCAGTGTGATAATTATTTCTCTCCATTTGCACAATTCTTTAAACAATAATGGTTATTACATTTTATTATATTCTTAGATAAGCCACTGAATATCAAAATTCACAAACAATAATTAATTTACCAAAACACCCTAATGAATTACTAATAAACATTTACATTAAGATAAGATTAATGATTTTACGGACAATATGTAATTGTTAAATGTTAAGCCACACCTCAACTTTCAATTACAATAAAATGTTGACATCAGTCAGATTATAAATAGTAGTAAAAATGTTAAGTGTTCAAGATTATTTTTTTTTAAATAAGTATACTATCTGGCGAGTCCATCACATATAGAGTGAGATAAGGTCAGAGATACAATAAAAAGTGACAGTAAATATTTCCAACACAGATGGTTGGCAACTCAGTAATCCCAGCATAAACTACTGGACTTCGAAATTTTTAAACAGCGAGCTAGCAGGAAGTCTTATCTATAAACTAAAATGTTCATTTCCTCTTTTGTAATATGATGAATATTACTTTTACACATAATAGAAACCTATAATATTCTCAACATTAAGAAAGATACATTTAGTTACTAAAATTTATTAAAACTCCACCAACTAATATACATAACTACTGAGGCAGTAAGGTCCACCCTACATTAAAGATGACAACGCTTTAGTCATTTACCTTTCTACAGCATTTTATGTAAATGAAAATGATTTTACACTCAACACAAACTTATACTTTTGTTTATTTCAAAGAGTTATAGGTTTTGTACTAGAAAAAAGAAATAGCCATTTGCTCAAATATATCTTCATTCAAGAAGGAAAGAAAACTATCAACAAACTTATAAAATAAAAAGAAGAAAAAAATTTACAGTCATAAATTAAATAGAAATTTGGAATAGTATGAAATACAAATATATGCTCTATAATTATTTTAATACTGCTTGTAAGGATAAGATAAGGCTTAGATGTATATTTCATATTAAAAATAAAAGTTATCTAACAATTTCAAACAAACTTAGTTAATTTTTATTCAGAGATTGTTGTTGTTTAATCACAAAAAGTTCATAAACTGTATTAAAGTCTTGAAAATTTGTGATTTAGCCATATGTTATCAAGATAAATTACTTACATTTTGTAGAATAGTAGTAAGATTTGTTGGGTCTGGACAATAACAATTCCGGCCATTTATCTTCTTTAGTGGACGATAGTGACGGTGATCTTTCAAGAAGTTGTGATCTTACTGAAGAAGTGGACGTCGCTGGAGACACTTCAGATTGTTTATCTCTAGAAGAGGCCATTCTTATTATCTATCAATTATAATTAAAACCATTTCTATCTAAACAAATAACTTGACTTCTAATGTCAAAAATACTTAAAATATGTTTGACGTGTCGAATCGAATGTCGAATAAATGTCAAAGAGTAAGTTGGGTTACCACTTTAATAATCGTTAAAGTATCGATCGAATGAAACGTGTTTATCGATTTTGCTTGATGTTTTAATTATATTTCAGTCAAGGTATTACAGCGGTTGAGGTTCATAAAAAAACTTATTTTTATGTTTTGACACCAGTAATAATCAATGTCATTTTAGTATTGTTTTTACTGATCACTGATTTTCAATTTTAATTTGATTAACCTGTAAATAAATTAATAAATAATCATGAATTTCCAATGCGAACCTCTAGGGAAAAAGATTAAAGTTTTGATGGTTAATCCACTTGTCCCGAGTTCACAATTAATTTTAATAAAAATATTGTCTGGGTCTGTGTTTGGTGATAACGTTTTTATAGATTTGCAACTATTGGTGTATTCTGATAAAGTTGCTACAGCAGAAACTTTAAAATGGGAGTTAGAGAAATGCGCTTTTTCAAATATCAGTTCTATAAAAGTCACTACAAACCTGCCTAGGTATTATAAAGCCTTTATTTTATTATAGACAGCGGCGTAGCGTAGTGTAATTGTTTTTTTTTTAATAAATATGTGGTATAATGACTTTAAATAGAATACATGTAGCTCTAACTATAGCAACAACAAATTAGATTTTTTAATTAAATCGTTTTTTTTAGTCCAAAAGATGCAGATGTCTTTTGTGTTATATCTGATTTTGACAATCCAAACTATTTCGATGTTGCTGGCATGGAAAACGAAACACAGTTTGATACGATGTATCTTTTAATTAAATTCGCTAATCATTTATCGTGGACTAAGGATGATAAAGCGGATGGTGATAAAGATAAAATGAAACCGATTTTTCTCGCCGATGGTTTGTTGGCTATGGATATTCTTTTCTCTTTATCCAAAAATTTACCTAAGGACGGCTTTTTCTGTCCCTCACCCATTGAAGCTATTTCGAAATCTGTACTGGGAGATCATTTAAACGTTAGTGTGATCTTTAAACAAAACAGAATACAGACATGTTCGATTACATTTTCTTTCAAGTTTAATTTTTCTAGTATTTACTCATCAATTGCGAATTTCAGAAGAAAGATCTTGTTTTAAACATTAAACGGCATTTTTAAATATTTGACGTATGCCTAACTTACCTAATACGTTTACTTGATAGTCAAGTTTTAACATAGCACAAACATTTTCCAAGCGTTTTATCATTTAATAAAATAATATTTTTCAAACAATGAAGGTGCGATTTAATCAAATAAATGAGGTGCGAGTCTGGGCTGCGAATGATAGAGTGTTTCACGTCGAGGTGGAAAAACCTATTATAATAACCGACTCCGTTGGTGACGGATCGAATACGCTGTGCGATCAGAAGATAATAAGCAAAGAGACTCTGCAAACATTGAAATTGGACTATACTCAATTCAATTCTACGTGGATGAGGAAAGAATTTATTGAAAAGGTATATGTAAGATGTAATATACCATTGTATGCTGAATTATGTCTTAGAATTTATATATGACGTCAGATTGTACATACATAAATACTCAGTTTATTCCTAAGTTTAACTTTATGTAGCGTTTATTTGTAAGGCTGTAAGAGTATAAAAATGCACTGAGCTAGTCGCCGTTTGCAGAAAAGAGATATCAAAACTCGGGCACAGAATGTATTTAATTGAATTCTGTATTTAATTTGAATTATTTCATTGAATTCCTTGATTTTCACAGATTAACTTACAATCTATAATGTTATAACTTACTTTAATGTTTATAACTTTTAACGAAAAATTAGTTTTAAATTGAGAAACTATTTTCTAATCAAAAACCGTTCAAAAGGTGGCGTCATATGCCGCACGGAATCCTTACGGATGTATTTATAAGGCAGCTGAATTCGCCAAAAGTTTGAAACAAATCTGGAAAGCACGTACCGGCGGGACTAAAGTTTGCAGCAACATGGGCGTCATTAGTGACGGCTCGATTGGCACTGCCAAAGGTAATATAAAATATGATTTATTATATTAATCTATTTGCAATTATATCGTAAAATTTATTAACCTTATTTTTTGGAATTCTGTAGTGAAAAGGTAATGAATGAAAAAACAAGCAGGATCTTGATGACACGATGTGGGAATTTTGTATCCACGACACTGTTACACATATCCAAATCTTAGCTATTTTTGATTATGACTTGCAGTCTTTGCATTCAAATATTACTATATTTAGGCCCTGTCCCACCAAATTGTAAATTGTCTGACAACAATCCGTCGTGTAAAATATGTGATGGAAATATCCGATGTTGTTACCTTATTTGAGAATGACGTCATTTTTAACCTATCTGAGCCTCTATCAGCTAGTGGTGGGACTGGCCTCTAAATGTAGAAATCTGTACAAAAATTGGTTCGTTTGAATACTCGAAAAGGGTAATACGATCTTGGGAATATCTTTCTTATATCTTGTAAATACAAGATCGTGAAAGTATCTCCCGAAATTAATTTCGTGCGAGAGCTGTTCTATAAAGGTATCATATTATCTAAAATATTCGCACCTTCTCTGCAACATGCTACTTTAATATTTTTTTCATACACGCTTCATGTGTTTTTCTGCACGTATAAGCCGATACTTTCGTCTTATTGGGTTTTCACAGATTTCCCTGTTATAAGAGAAATAATTTAACAGAATAGTCCAGCATTGTTTAACATGCGATTTTTTTTCGATGATTTATCTCAAAATAATTGTATTGTAACCTACGTTTTCATGCATTTAAATTTCGTGTTATAATTCATAGAAATGTTTAAACCGCAGTCGCGGGCAAAAGTTAGTTTCAAGTAAAATGTTTGACGTGACTTTGGCTAATTATTTTAGGATATCCGTATGTACTGCCATTGATATTTAGTGGTAATACTTGGGCGGTTAATAAATGCTACGAAGATAACTCGTATTTAAAACAAGAAATGAAAAGAATTAATAAAGCCGTAGAAGAGGAACATAAAAAGGTATTCAATTTTTTTTTCATAAGTTTAAGTAGTCTCATATGTATTCAGTTTTCTTTGACAGGATGTTATTATATGACCGGTGCACGATACCTAGTGGTCATACAAAACATCGTCTAGAAATAAGTATGTTATGCTGTTACCAAAGTTACTATGAGACAACATACTCGTATTGTAGTAAGATTGCTTTAACATGGCAAACTCATTCGTCGACAACTTTATAATATTGGAAAAATTACTTGTCTCTCTAGAGTTCGCATTTACTTTTCACGATTTTTATTAACGGCAAACGATTCTTTAAAACGTTACGAACTTAGTTTAATTTTATTGCAGCTTATTCCATATTGTAAGAAGTTTCTGGAAGAGAATGTAATTAATTTAGGTTTCGTTTCGGGCGACAATGTTACTAGCAGCTACTGTGAAGAAAACAGCTCCCACTGTTTATTGCAGAGGACGTCGAGAACATAATATTTGTGTTGTTGTTCAATATTTCTCCGATATTTATTTGTAGAAGTTATTAATATTATTCAATAAATATTGCTCTATGGTCGTACAAGACTTATTGCGTTTTATTTCAATTTGTAACAACATAAAGATGAATACATTTTGAAGAAAACAATGTTTGATTATCTAACTAACATAAATGTGGAAGTTTAGATGGATGGATGTTTGTTAGAGTTTGTAGCCAAAACGGCTGAATTAATCTGCATGAAATTTGGTACAGATGTAAACCATAGTCTGAAAAAACACATACGCTACTCACTTTTGTTTTATATTAATTCCACGCGGACGGAGTCCCGGGCAAAAGTAGTATCAAATAAATGTAGTTTTTATGGTCAAATCGATTTACATTTTATTTGTAACATTTAAACCTTTTACTTCTCTTTGTAAGAAATGTTTGTCACACTTCGTATGATTTACGAAATACGACGATGAGGAAATGTGAAATAAAATCGAAGAGAACATTAGATAAGAAAATGGCCTTTGTAATGTCTTCACGATGTCGTAAAAACAACAAATGTGTTAAAAGATATCATTCGGATGAAATAAAGACCAAAAGATCGAATTTTTTTACGGATCGATTTAAAGGATTGTTTGTTGTTTTACGATTTTGATTTGCAATGAAGATAGAACTGATAGGCACTTTGGCTGTTCAAATTTTTTTTACAATTGAGTCATTTATAATGAGATGAGTTGGCTGGTAGAATCAATATATTTTATTAGTCTACTTTTAAATCTTTTACAGATGTTTAACTACCCGCCATAACTATACTTACTCATAATACATACTTTGCCATATCGGGAACTTAATCCGTACATGAACATATAACAACATAATACCAAAGAATAATAAGTCGCTATGCAAAGTTAAGGAAGACATAAAATAGTTAATTCATATGTGTTTATTCATTGGTTACTTTTTAAATTGGTTACCTGATTTATATCACAGATAACACATACAATTTTCAACAACATTTTAACGTTTATATTTTATCTGTATAATAAGATAAATATTATTTCGACAATTTTAACAACTCTACTGATGTAACGTCAGTAAAGTAATGAACATTTAAATTTTCTGTCACTATTAATAATATCAACATTAAGGCATTAAAATGTCGGAAAATTCAACGTAACGTTCAGTGCATTGAAAACTTAAATGTGTCGCGCTTTGTCCCGCGCTTCAGTTGATCGATATTGCCTTAAATTGATGATGACAGTTCGTTGAAAACCGGTTTGACGCAAATTAAATGTATCATGTAATTTGAAATACTAATTTCAGTGACGTATCAAAACCTGTACGCTTTAATGTGATGGTGAACTAATTGGTGACATCAAATACATACGCCATGATGTGTATCGCATTGCAATTAAATTAGTTACAAATATGTGGCAGTATGGATCAATTCGCTTTCAATTTGTGTTACGTTAAATGTTTTGTGTTAGTTAAGTGTCATTCATTTTCGCATAACTTGGGAACTGCGAGAAAAAGTAGGTTCGTTGTTTCTTCTAAGAAAATGTATTAATTATAATGTACAATATTTAAATAACTTTTGCTCTATTTTTTAACTTGGACTGATGAACGTTCGTAGATTGATTTATTAGCAAGATAAATATCGGTAGCAGTAGTTTGTTACTACATCCGTGCTTCACATGGTCGTAATAGGAAATGTATGAAAAGTATAAGAAGAAAAGAGATTTTATTATTTATTATGAAAACGCAAAGATCGCACGGTGTCTTTGTACTGGCACCTAATAGAATCCATAATCTTGTTTCGTCTCATGAATGTCGTAAAATGATAAATAGCCTTCGGGATACCCGCCGGCTTCCGCTTGATCGCAAAACATCTTGTACAGTTTTTCGCCATTTTGTTTATAGGACATATGTATAGAAATAACCTCTTTATATTATAAAACATTGTCATATAAATACATACATATGTAACAGGTCTTGTGCAAGTAAAATCAAGTTTTTTGACGTCATAACGTCACAATAATTATATTCTAAAATCGAAAGTCTATGACAACGTTTTTCTAATTCAATACTAAATTGCTTTTTTAAATGTATTTAGTAGAAATATAACAATTTTGAGGTTATGTTTATCAGATCGGACCATCACAGTCGGTCGAAGATTTTCACAGTACCGAGTGTTTGGGGCGATAAATAAATCTAAGGAGCACGTAAGATACGGGAATCGGTTTTGTAATGTCTTTGGGTAGCCGTAAATACAACAACGTGCCACACATATCTGTCAGAAGCACAACGCGCTGAATAATGCATAGTTTTAGTTCAATTACAATACAATTTTAAATTGCGATTTATTGCAATTGCTTAATGTTGTTTGACAAACGGAAATACGTTAATGCAAGTATACGGCTTGAGATTGAGAAAAAAGTTTATTAAAAAAAACTGTATTGTCATGTTATGACATTTTTTATTTTTCCTGATCGATTGACTAAATAGTATATTATGTCCAGTCTTTACGTTTATTTGAGTTGCTTTTTAAACTTTCACTTCGTAATAAATTTTAATAAACTCCGAGTAAAATTTATTGTTTGACCATAAAGCTGTTTAATTACAATGGAGGTAATTACGGTGTTAAGTACCTGTAAATTGTGTAAGTATCGTTAACTATAAAATATACGGGTTATTAATTTTCATTTTATTGTAACCAATTTTGTGGGATAGATATTATTACTGTCTGAATAAGATACGACATAAATTGTGTCATAAAACAAATAAGCTCCCAACGAAGACATAATCGTAAATAAAACAAACATTGAAGATTTTGGCATGGCGCTTTGTTATAGTTATTGTTTTACAGTCGATGTTCAGACTTAGTCAACTTGAGCTTTTGTTTGTTAAGCTTCTTCGATAAGTTTATGAAAGAAAAAACTTAAATTCAGTATTAAAATATTTCTGAGTTGCAATTTTTTATCGATTAAAAACATTAGATGGTTTTGTAATTTAATAGAAAAATACATTACTAAGTAAACTACTAGAAGAGCCCTTACATTAATATCATCATGTTTCTTTTTCTAAATAACTCTTTGAGTAGAACAAAATGTTTTTTTTAATTCGGTTTTGGTATTGTCACAATGTTAGGAATATTCGTACGCGGAAAATAGAACAAATGAATCGAATAATATTATATGTCTAAGCAATAATGTCACTGAAAGTGCCAAGGATCGAAGTTTTAAAGTAATTTAATAATATATTATTTAATTTATTTATTGCGTAACTCCTGTGATATTGCGAATGTTTGTGAGCGACGGTAACTTTGATAACAAGAAACAAACTTCACGTAACTTAATAAATATAAATGTAATGAACTAAGTTTTATGTTACGTGATTTAAAACATCCTGTGTAGGGTTTCTTTGTAGGCTTTATACAGAGGTACTAACGCTTTTTATGTATTCTATTACGTATTTTCTAAAGGTTTTATACAAGAGGTCTCAAGCAGTAGGTTGCTTACTTACTCGATTATATTTAGCCCTCCAGCGGTACTACGTAATGGATTAAAGTCTTTAAAACTAGAAATAAAGAGCGAATGAACGCTGGTGTTGGTACTACCTTTTATATTCAGGCAATGTTTAGATTTTTAAGGTTATTTTTAATTACCTTATTTTGCACACTGAATGAAATTCTTCACAACTATTGTCGAATATTAAGTTATGTTATGTAAATTTTCTGCCCTAATTATTATTATTTTTTTATAATATAAGTGGCAAACGAGCAAGCGGCCACCTGAATCCACCGAAATGGAAAGCGACCGCTGCCCATAAACATCCGCAATTGAAGATTCGTTGCCTACTCTTAATTGACGGAGGAGGAGACGCACACAAAGAGGACATTTCCCCTTCCTATGCATCTTCTCCACCGTCAAATCCACTTTTCCTGCCCATCCTTTCCTCTTAAGAAAAGGGTGGAAAGGGAAATTAGGCCTCCGGCACTACACTCATCAGACGAAACGCGGAATTGCTTCCACTTCACGTCTGTTTTCTGCGTGGTCGTGGTATTACACCGGGCGAGCCGGCCCATTCTTGCGAAGATGTTAAAGCGGGCTCTACCACTATTTCTTCACTTTGATTTTATTTTGTAGAAGTCAGTCGTAGTTATTAAAGTATGATTAAAAGTTACGTAATTAGGCACATATTTAAATTAATATTCAATGAAAATTAGGTTACAGTTGTTACGTCATAATTCTGTAGTTCGTATGAGCTCCGCGTATGCAAAACAGTTGTTGTATGAAGGAAATTTCGCTCATTGCACAGTTCACATGAATAAAGTTGGCGGAGAAGTCAAGCACGAGGTCAATTATCTCTGGATATTACTTCGACGATGCACGAATTTTATTTGAGAATTTATTTTTCACTAATGATTCTAGTAATAAAACAAGATTTCCGTAACTAACATTATTGTTAGAGTTACAGCTTTTTATTTAGATTTTAAGCAAATTTGTTACTTTTAGGGTTTTACAAATTCCTTTATCTGTACAAAGTATCGAAAGGGTGCCATAAAATGAGGTATAAAATAATTACCAACCAAGCAAATACATAATCGTAAATAAAACAAAGTTTGAAGATTTAGACGCGGCGTTTCGTGTTTGAATTACTGTCTGACCTTTAATTAAGCCTGCGCTACGGAGTTGTATTTTATCAGCTATCATTGAACGTAAAGTATTATGAGATTTATAATTTATTAAATTGAAAATTCATGCAAATATTTGTACCAAAGTAAATAAACTGAAGGATTATATATAAAACTTGGTATACAAAGAAATGTTTTCTCTTTATAGTTTAGATAAAGTAGATAAACTTTAAGAACGGACTCTGAAGTGATATTACCATTTATTTTCTGGTAAAATTTGTATGATAACTTGCTTTTATAAGGTAGCTTCCGTCTTTAAAGAGGGAAATGTGAATCAAAGCCCGGCGCTCGTATTTTACAAGCGGTTATCATTAAAAGCTTTACCGTACTAGCTAACTCCACAGGGACCGATCCTTCTATTTCCTTTTGTATTTGTCGCATTTCTTTGCATTTCCCTTTCAAAGG